ATTACGTTAGTCTTATGACGATACGATATATATATTCCAGTGGGCTTGAGATAAAAAAAATACCACCGAGTTCGATACATCTGTTTCACATTCGGAGATTTTAGTTAAAAAGACGCTTATGGTCATCTATCAATTAAGCTTGAAGACAAACGAAATTTAAATTTAAATCGTCAGCTTCCCTGACTTATGCGGCAATATACCTGCAACACCTGCATACGGGGTTTATATCTGTCAGTTGAGTCGATAATCGATACGCAAAAGCATGCTCTACGTATGTAAAGTTTCTTAAACGAGGTAAATTATTGATAAATCAAGTTGATGAAACAAGAATATCAGCAGTCTCGTTCAAAGGCATCATTTTGTACGTTCTATCGATACAATGACCTTGTCAGCAAATACAATTTAACACTGAGTCAAATGCTGACTGCGGTTTTTTTTTTTTTTTATAAATATTGTTAGGCCATTATTTGCACACTGAATTAACAACGGATTTTTCCGTTTACTTTCCGATCATGACAGGGAGCACACAGCGGGTGAAACCGTTCGGCAGGGATGCTAACTCTTCCATGGTACATGATCCCACCTATGATGCTTTGGAGGTCCGTGTATGTTCTGCTATTTTCATTGATATTTTTTGAAAATCAACATATTTCAAAGATATTTTCGTTTGAAATATTCTGAAAGCTTCTATTATGAGACACATGTGAAATGTTTGAAAACTTTATCTATGATTCTGATATTATTTTCAAGCCAAAATGAGTGAATTAGTTGTAATGCTTAGTTCTCCTTTGTTCTAAACCCCTTTATTCTTATGTCAAGCAAATTTTAGGTTTCTTCTCTGAAACGTTTTTTCAATCAGTTTGAACAATGTTTACAAACAGAATTTCTTAGAAAAAGAAGAGCTCCAAATAATGATGCCATAAGACTATCAGTTTACGCCAACGCCCAGAGGGTGTAATTAAGTCTGCCTTATTTTTTCTTGTCATCCAACGAGCAAATAATTGCATTTTATGCAAAAATTTTCTAAACAATACTTGTATGTTAAGAAATATTAGACATCTGTTTATGATCTGTAAGGATCAAAACCAGGACTGTATTTGGTATATATCGTGCTTAAGATATTGCTCTTTCGATTTAATCCATTGATTTACCCAAGACAGTTCAAAATTGTTTCAAAGAATTTTTGACAATAAATTAAAGCGTTTTCTTTTACAGAATGAGTGTATGTATCAACACTACACGCAGTCTCTTATATTTCGTATTTTAAAAACCATGGTTAAAAAATATCGAAGATAGTAAATAGCGATATTGTCTATCTCTTAATTAGTATTCAAAGTATAAATAGTGTATAGAGCCGTTGGAAAACACGCAAAAAAAAGATTCCGAAGATACAATGACCAATGTCTCGGTTTGTGGAATCCCTGGCCAATTTTTTTTTATAAACATTGAGTGATTTTAACAAATGCAGTATTCACCAGGACACTGAAAGAAAATCTAGTTGAATCAACAATTAATTCACAAATAGATAAAAGTTAGAAATATAAATTTTGTATATTGAACAAAGCAACTTTTTTGCACTATCTTTGCATTTTCATAAATAAATTGATTTTTTCCGCCTACTTACACTTAAAGGTATGTGATATTTCTTTTTTCTTATTTTTTGCAAAGATAATTTTTTTTAGTTACATACCTTAATGACAATACGTTTCTGACAATTGGGCAAATACTAAGGAATCGAAGAAAAAATTGGAAAGAATAGGATGAAGAAAGTCCAATTAGGAATCAACATTTTTGGACCTGAAAAAAGTTGTTTGTGTAAGGGGATTGTTAGGTATCGATACGTGTGTCCAATTTCTTTATTGTTCAGCTCTATTTTTGGATTGAATTTCACAGAAATAGTGGGGTAAGAATAAAGTAACTTATGCCAAGAGACAAGGTCACAGCAACAAGTGAAGTAAGCCAACAGTGTCACTCTGTCTTCTACTGGAGTAGGAATGTACGTCATTATAAATGGTTCGTAGTGTTACATGATAATGAGAATAAAAGGAAGCGAGCGCTTCCTTTCTTTTAGCAGTTACTGGAATATTGCTGGAAATTATTTTCCCTTCTCAGAGAGTGGAAGAGATATGGCAGATTTGTACTGCTGATAAAAGCAATACCACACAACCAGTAAACGCTGACTTCATATGCATTTACAGGTCAAGTGGTTTTTGTTGGTTTTTTAAGTACAGAAATAGTATAAGAAAGTAAACCGCTATTTGTTCGTCCAGACCACAACGGAATAGAAAATTTCACAAAAAGGAAGCTGACAGACGCTTTTTAGATAACATTTGGTCAAAAACATCCGATACAACACCAAGACATGTACACATTAACTGACTCGTATATAACCAAGGACGCCCACGTAAAAAAGGAAAAACAAAACAAAATCAAATTTAAAAACATAAATGTAATTGTTTTACTTAGATTAAGATATTGTAGCAACAGCGTATTAACTTTAGTTTTTTTTTAATAAAGTAAATCAAATTAATTTTACATAATTTTCAGATTTGCTCATTTTTTTATATTATTTTAGGAATGAATTTAATAGCTACCCATTTTATACGGTATAAACTGGGTTGGGGCAGTTTACGCTTTATAAACCGCGAAGCAGTTTATAAAAAAGCGTAAACTGTTCCAACCCAGTTTATACCGTATAAAATGGGTAGCTATTAAATTCATTGCTTATAATTTAATTTTCATTCATTTGATGTAAGAAAAAAAGATTACTGTTCTAACAAAATGACTTCAATTTGTGCAAAATTTGAATGTAACGTCAGTCGGATTGACACGTTTTTGACGCACGTCATTGTGACGTAGGCAACCCATTTTGTACGATATAAAATAATTGTTTATCCAATTAAGTACATCGTTACAACCATAATTAAATTATATGCAATTTTGGGAATATTACTTGCATAATCAAATATCTTTTACAGAGTAATTGTCCTTGATATTGAATTTAAAAGATCTACGGCTTGGAATTCTCAAAAAGGTTCGAACATTTCCTTATTTACGTCTTACATAGCACCTGATTCCACCCGTAATGATTCCAGATCACTAGGAAAGCTCAACTCTATTGTTTATAAATACGGAGCTTTTTATATTCCTTATTTTTATATTTAACCTAAATATTTTGTATGCACAACCAAAAAAAAAATGTTTTTTGCCTCCTGTGTGTAATAAAGATTTGCATGTTTTTAATTTTCTATATACCTAGACCTTTTTAAAGGCATTTAAACAACATTCCATTTTGTTAATAGCAGGAATTTGTAGCATTTTTTTCTCAACAAAGACTGTTCATTGAATAAAATGCAAGATAACGAACAGTATTCCAGCTCTAAAGTTCACTTATCATTACAAAATAGGAGCGGAGCAAACAAGAACCTCTAAAACATCAGAGGTGGGATCCGGTGCCATTGAGAAGTTAAGATCCCTTGCTTACCAGTCACACCCGCTGTATGCTCCTTGTCATGATCAATATAAATGGCAAATCCGTAGACAATTCAGTGTGTATGTAATCGTCTAATAATTAATTAGATTGAAAATGCATTTGACTTAATTATAATTGTATTTGATGATAAGTATAAGGTCACTGTATCTACAATGACCATTTTATTTTAAAAAACACACAATTTAATTATTTTACTTTATGATGAATAAAAAAGTCGGTATAATTCAATGAAATAGATAATACAAATACACATTGTGCGATGGCATTTGCAAGCATTTAGATTCTACACAACCTAAATTAAAGTGCATAGACAGCGAAGCTTCAAGTTTGTGCTTGTCATTTCATTTCAATTATATGACAATTTCTATCAATAACTTTTTTGCAACTTATAAAATAAATAGAAATTTTTTTTCTCACTGTTAAAGTCTTAAAGATGTGTAACCTGATTCACTGAAAGTTGAGGATGATTTTTGGTTCGCCCGTCCGTCTGTCTGCCTCTCTGTCCGTGTGTAACACTTTCGTTCCATCTTTTCTGTATGTTTTTGCAATGAAACTATAGAATGATGATAAATTTCTTTTAATCTATAAGGAATCTTAACTGAGAGATCAAGATTGACATTTTATCATTTATCGTCTGCATATTTTCTCCCATGTCTTCCATTTTTTGTCCTTAGACGGGACACAATTTCTCTGAATTAGCTTGTTTATCCTTTGCTTTATGCAGATTCAGCTCATAACATTTTTTTTTATGGAAAGACTATATGAAAGACACTCGATGTTACAAATGCCAATGCAGACAGAATTCATCCATTTTCTGGTCAAGTTGATTGTATATATGTGAAAATAATTGAGAAGCCTGGATAATAACCTAGCTTGGAGCAATATTCATGAGAAAACCAATTATTTGTTTCTGTTACATATATATTCTATTCTGTCGTAGTAAGAGACAATATCTTAAACAATTTATTTAATTAAGAAAAACGTCTGGGACATAATGTTATGCTTTCATTTTTTTGTTTGTTTTGTCTTTTTTGAATTCTTCTTCAAAGCGCTTAAGTAATTATATAAATATCTGTAATCTAAGTACTAGATTTGTTCACTGTTCACTGGCCTCCAGCGATTTAATGTCGGTAACGGAAATCCCCCATGTCTCTTGTGTAAAGTAAATTTCGTTATTTTGTTCTTCCTAGGATCATATTACCATCGGCAAATTGTTATCAGCGAGCAAATAAAAAACACACTCATACATGGCTAAAATCGTGTAATATCTAAAATTTCAGCATATTTAAGTGTGATCAAGCGAAAACAGTTGATGTGTTTGTCTTTTTAAAGCGAATCTTTCTACTCAGGAATTAAAAGGGCATTAATATATTGTATTCATTTCTTTTGGTGCATTTTAACCTTGGTATTTCTTCTGAGTTGACACCGGTTGAAAAGATGATGTTAGACACTTGAGCTCATTTCCTGTTTTTAACTTCAGTACATAAAAGTGTTTTGCAATGTAAAATCCAGAGGATTCATAAAACATAGAATGATTCAGTACTTCCGAGAAAATAAGATAAAACTTAAACCTAGTGAAAGTTTTACAATGATGATGTTACATGTTCAGAAAGACAGGGACACTTTTATTCATCGATAAAGCTAGTGTCAGTTCGATATCAATGGGCAGTCCAGTGAATTTCGAATGAAAAATGTGACATGAATTTCATGCTGTGACTTTACAAACACAGAAGAAAATGCTGCCATTATCTTATTGTGTCCAGAGAGAAGGACTATACAATGTCGTCACAACTCTATTTTGCTACCGATTTTTGATACCCCATTTTAGTAACGATTCCAAAATCTTCTGGAGTGCAAATTTTCAAAACGGGAACTATAGATTCGTATCAACTCCCGAAAATGACATGTTTTCACCGGGGTATTCCTTTGTTCCCGATATAAACAACGACACGAACATTGAAACCGTTTGTCTTGGTCTTACCCATGGTGACTGCCAACGTTGGATATCTTGTTCGAGGACGGCTAGGGACTGCTGTGAGAGACACCGTGCTACCAATGAGTCGCTGCTAACTTCAGAACCACAATGTGAAGCGACTTGGGACGGGGTATCCTGCTTTGATTCTGCACCCAATGGAACAGTCGTGGAGACGGAATGTCCTTCATTCTACATCCCCACTGAAGGATCAGGTATGGTTATCACACAAAATACAAAAATATGACCCGGAAAGGCTAAAGCTTAATATAATTATCAAAATAATGATTGTGTTTTTAGATATTTAAAGACTTTTTTGTAAATAAAAAATCGTTTCAATAAAAGATGCATTTTATGAAAATGTTCAGATATTATGGATCTGCATTTTTCTTGTCTTTTCTATCTATCGAAGTAGTGTAGAAATTGTATAATATCCTGAACTAGGTGTGTTTGTTTTCAAGTTGTACTCATTTTCATTATTTACGCATATTTTCGATATTTACGCATCATTCTGCATATCCGTTTTCATTGGTTACGATTAGTAAAGTTTCATTCAACAAGGAAAAGCAAAAATTGAATGAGATAGGGGAAATGAAACTTGAAACATAACTTTTTCTCTCATCAAGGAAGATATTTAAATATCTTAAAGATCATGGCAAAATAAAGAATATGTGGAGTAATAATAGGAGGCCAGAGAGGGTCTTGTTGAAATTTAGTTGTTGGAAAGCAAAAATGAATCAAAACTTGTGAACTATTTTTTGTCTGAAGCATTATTATTGGTATTTCAAGGGAGAGTAACATTATCTAGCGTAAAATGATATTGTATCGGAAACAACCTGCATTATTATTGTAAACTACTCGTACAATTAATACAAACAGTTGTTGATTATGTAATTTACGCATTATTCTACACGTATTTGACAATCCTGTGTGCACGATACACATTATTTTGAACATTAACCTACGATGAAAGTTACATGTATTTACAAGTTTCAAGTCACACCCCTCTCTATAATTCCTGTTCCGTTTTTACATGTCTTTACTCACATAATGTAGAAATAGAATAAAAATATCTACAGTTATAAGAACAATAAAGTATTGCATATTTTTCAACTACATACATTATAAGAATAATGAAACATAATTCAAACCATCCCTTTGTGCACGATTTTTTAGTTATGTCTCTGATAACAATGACTTAGTATAATCATATTATTCACGCCATTGGACAGAAAGAACGGAAACCAATTGCAGATACACAAAGGGAGTGTTCATTTTCTATTAATCATCAAGTCGTTTTATCGTCAATATTTTGTTTTGAAAGAGAAGTTTCTTTGTTAACTCTGATATCAAGTGTAAAATTTGGAAGTCATATTGTAGAACATAAGTTATAAATGTGTACAAATAAAACAGAGATTCTGTATTGTGTCCATATGTCTATTTTAGCATTTTAAAGTTTATTTCTTAACATCCACGTTACCCGCGTGGTTACAGCGTTTGCTTTACAGATTCACGAAGTAAGGAGATCATGTAGATCCTTTAATTACGTCGCGGGTTCGAATCCCACTGTGGGACGTGACGACCGGTCCTTCGGATGTATAAACCGAGGTTCCGTGTAGCAGTATGTGCTGACACGTGCATGAAAAAGATCCATCCCTGCTCAATGGTCCTGAGTGCCGAAAATAATACAAAATTTGCAGCCCTCCACCGGCAAATATTGGCGTCTCCATACAAGAGAAAAATTCTCGAGGGTGACGTTAAACTACATACAATTAATCATTCTTACCTTCCGCATTGCTTTATAATCCTACCTTTAGATATTTATCAAGAAACTGCAGGATAGAAAATTCCATTAGAACTCAACATTTTATAGAGAGGTCAGGCTGGAAAATATACACACAAGAACCCTATCTTACTGTAGGGTTATATTATAACTTTCAATGACACTTTAATCCCACCTCTGATGTTTCGGAGGTCCGTGTTTGCTCTGCTCTTGTTTTGTATATTTGTTTAATGGACGTTGAGATTGAATACTGTTCGTTATTTCCATATCCTTATTTAATGATAAACTATATGAAATATAAGCTGTCTGTGCTTTCATGTGCAATTTATTTTCAGTGAAGGCCTCGAAAACCTGCTTAGCCAGCGGCAAATGGCATACACCCGATACCGGTCTTCTTGTTGATGGGATAATACATACTTACTTTGTCTGCAAGCAGAAACAATCAAGGAAGGTGATGTATCTATTAAGAACATCTGTTTTTAAAATTAATGCTTAGGAGAAAATTCGAAACCTGAGAACATCATGACATGTTGTTAAAACAATTTTAATGGATACCACTGCTTTGTCATGCAGTGTAAATTTCAGAAATTGGTTATATTAAGAAATATAAAAAATCAAAATACATTCAAAACTACTCAAACAAAAATTATTTATTACTAGATTTAGTACACGTGTTAGATTTAATCATTCAGTTTCCTGAAATCTTAATCCAGTTTTTGAATAAGTCTATGAATATGTTAATAATAATAATCACTCGTTTAGCTTTATTTAAAGTTACATTTGTATGGTTAACTTATGCCAACTTTAGTTCATAAGATTCATATGCTGTGATTAAAGATTTTAAAATATTGCCAGTTTTATTTATCCTGCATCAATTAAGGATAAATTACAAAAACAAACTTTTTTTTCAGAAATGTACAATATTTCTCATATAAATTGGTAACCTGAAACAATGTTTACCAAGTATAGTGGGAGAAATTTAAAACATTTTGTCATAAATTTTTAGATTTGTTGAAACTACTGTATGGAATCATATAGACAGCAAAACAAAGTCTCATATCTAAGCACCAAGGAAAACTACGATTTCCTTATATTTCAGGGAATTATTATTTATGTCATTTCAAATCAAAATCATCAAAAAATATATATCAATCCATGCATCAAATTTTTGTTTGTGTTAAGTACCCTTAATTCGTATTTCATTATGTTACAGGTTGTTGGGGTAGAATTAATTGAGACTCAACGATTAGTAACTCTGATTACAAACTCTATTAGCCTACCTGTTCTAGTTTTATCCTTGATTGTCCTGTCCTGTTTCAGGTAGTAAAAAAAACACTTTTTATATTACATAGGGATAAAATCCATACAATTATCATGTATTTTCAGTTTCATGTGTAAATGGTTTTTATATCTCTTATTTGATAAGATAAGCAAGAGAACATATAAACAATTTGTTTTTAAACAGCCTAGCTGTTGACAAATAAGCTTGAGATGCAAGCATATCAACAGTCTCACTTAGAGTCAGAAGTTCTAAGTCTATGGTAGAGTCATTAACTTGTTAGAAAATACAATCTATCATTGGGTTTTATGTTTACTGATGTTTTTTATTTGTAAATATTTCGGCTATTATTTCACACATTTTTTTTTCGTATATCATGTGATGATAAGAGGCACGTGCACGCGGGAGTGTGACCAGTCCGCGGATGACCTTGTATTTGTATGTCCGTATTTGCTCTGATTACATTTTTTACATGCATTTTTTCAGTGACCTTTAGAGTTTGTCAACTTTATTTTCCAGTTGTCTTAAATCTGAATTCTTCAAAAATGGAACCGGTAATTTTTTAAGAAGCTCTTTGTAAACCATTTTGAAGAATGTTATTTGATACTACAAAATACCCCTGTTAACCCAAGCAGATTGTTTAAAAAACGAAAGCTGTATATCTTGTTTTTATGCATCGAGTTTGCAAAGCATATCTGTAGAATAAAACTGTAACGCACAATCATCTCTTTTTTTTATTATACAGTGTCAAATAAAAATGTTACAACAACTTTAAGGACATACGCAAGGTATCTTACCTATTGATAATTTTTCTAGATATTCTAAATTTAAACTTATAATACCATTACATGTTCTTAGACAAAAAAAAAATCAGCATGCGTTACCAGGGGTTTTGAAAAGATATCAAATTCTGAAAATCTTTGCATTATTCAAAGAAGAATGTACAAAAATTACAAAATATAAATTCCAGATTATTTTTCATAATTTTTTTTATCAAAAGAGGTGTACAAATTCATATAAAGACATTAAAAGTATTGCACACGGGTCCTTCATTTAGTGGATCTCTTCAACCCCAGGAAAGAACCCAATAAAGTTTAAACTACATTGCGTATGTCCTTAATTGAAAAACCGTGTAATAAAATAAGAAAAGCACACAGAAATGAATTTACAAAAATATAATGTATTTATTTATAAAACTTCAACTTGTAAAAACCGGAAATCATAAGTTGGATAAAAATTTGCTGGATAAGATGGTATTCCGGATATTAAGGGGATAATTTAAACAATTATTTTTACATCACAGCATTTATAGATGTCTACATTCTAGACAAAACATCTCTATGAAATATGATGATTACGATCAGTATTCAAGCTCAAAGACCAATTAACAATACACATCGAGAGCAAAGCAGACATGGACCTCTAAACACATCTGATATGTGGGATCAGGTGCCATGGATGAGTGAAAATCCCCTGCTGACCGGTCACATCCGCCGTGTGCTCCTTGTCATCATATGGGGAAACAAAAAGACAATCCGTTTACAATTCAATGTGTCAATTCTGGCTAAACAATTAGTACAAAATATACACTATCTGGTTTCGACAATGTTAACTTTTAAGATGTGTTAATTTTATAAGAATGTATTCCATTCAGATCCCAGGGCAATACTGCGCCGGATGAAAAATCACGGAGGATGTTCCAGATCCATAAACATTTCTTATCCTCCCTGATTCTAGTGGGCGTCCTAAGTTTGATTTGGGACGAACTGTTTGTCAGAAACCATATTGAGAAAATCCATGAAAAAACAAGTTGGATAGCATTAAACATGGTATGTGGTACGAGTTCTTTTTAATTTGCCGCCGAAACATGGCTGAAAAATTGCCGACTCGGCTTTAAGCAATATATCATCAATCAAGCAATTTTTTTAATTTGTTTGCGATTTATAAAATGTTAAACGTCAAGAACAAAAATAATATTATAAAAGGGACAAATTGAAATATAAATTTAATAAGAGTTTATGTATATGAACCACCTTGATTTAATACGCTTTTTCCTGTATAATTTGTATTCAGGAAGACAAAACAAAATTTTCGATTTTACATTCAAACCTACTAGATTCTGTTAAATTAAATGTAGTAATTTTGAGAAAAAAAATTGAATAAGTTTTAACCTTTCATATATCTTTTTTTATTCCACAGGCATCCTGCAAGTTAATAAACTGTCTACAGAAATATTTTAGATCAACCACATATTTCTGGATGTTTGTTGAGGGTTTAAATGTCCTTATTCCATTTTATCAGACGTATAATAGAGAAATGGGAATGCCACTACTGTGCTTTTTAGGATGGGGTATGTTGTCAAAAAGTTAATATCACATTATATTTTATTAGGTCAGGTCATCTGAACAATTACTGCCTGTTTGCCCTCGACCGACCAACTTACTGACTCGACTCAAATTTTAAGCCAGTAGGAAATACATATTTTCTTAATACAAAATATTTTTTACAAAAGGAAAATCTGCATTGGTAATATAAATATCTTAGAAAAAATCGGTGCCTTTCTACCGACCGATGAATTTGCCTTCCCCCCCTCCGGTTTTGGAGAGGGCACACAAACATTTTTAAAAAGGAAAAAGGACGATCTTAATGCAAATATCATCCGCTAGCTCTTCTTTGGTTAAATAACGCCCTTTGTTGTCTTATTTTATCAATGATTGCGATTTTGTTAGGAAAATCCGATACCTTATATAAAAAAATTAACTTAGATAATATTTATTTGGCTCAGTGTGGGTCACATTTAAAAATTTCTCTAACAAAAAGGGAATAAAGGATTTTGTCTAAAAGTCCATGCAATTATGTTGTAAAGTTTTAACTTACCATAGGTGTTATATAAGGAACTTTTTCGTGGTTATTTGTGTTAAAACCTGTAATTCAAAAGCTTGTACATTTTCTCTGCAATCAATTGACATTATTATTATTATAATTATTATTAAAGGTTTTCCACTGATAACAGTTGCTGTTTATGCAATTTTACGATCGACAATTGAGCGCTACAACTTTAAGTAAGTAACTTAATAAAACGGTGGTTCTCATGTAAAATTCTTTTAATTCATAATGCGATATTTTATAATTTTATAGACATTATAAATATATCTCACATATTTTCTTACCTTCTTCAGATGCTGGATTTACACTTTTCTTGAAATTGAGTGGATAATATGGGGTCCTAATTACTTGACAATCTTAGTAAGTTTAAGTTTAAACTTCTAACAAGAACTTACTTAATAGCATCTAGTCTCTCGTAGTCTAGTACTATTACCAAGATCTCTCTCTCTCTCTCTCTCTCTAAATAGGAGTTTGTCTTTGTGCATTTAAATGCTTCACAAAGCATTCACACTAAAATGAGATAAAGAAACAAACAAACAAACAAATTAATGTCTGCACAAACTTTCTTATCAAGGTTGAATAACTGTATTCTCAAATATTTCCAATTACTTATCAGAAATGTGCCTGAATTGAAATGATCTTTTCCCATTATCACGTTGCTAAAAACAGGGATTCTTTCTTATTTCTTTCTCTATAAATGTATTATGTAGAGAAATTTTGAGATCTTAAGATTGGTTGTCCTGAAACCATAGTGATTATTTCTCTTCTTCAAAAAATCACTGTAGATGAACTGGACTATTATACATGAAATATTAAAATAATGAACAGTAATGAAATTAGTCATCTACGAATAATTCACTTGAAAGGGTAAATGAAATATATGGAGATAACGACCAGTATTCCAGCTCAAAAGTTCAGTAAACAATACAAAATAGAATCAGAGCAAACACGGACCTCCAAAACATCAGAGGTGAGATCAGGTGCCATGGAGGAGGATACAATTGCTACTAGTCGACGTAAATAAAAAAAATTATACAAGATATTTTCAAAATTAGATTTTTTTTTGCATGAAATACTAGTACTATCGCATAAAAGCAAAAGTATTTAACGATTGTGCGCAATTTAAAGGAAAAGAAGATATTAACTTAATCATCCAAGAATGAATACTCGTGAATGAAATATCACTGCAAATGCAATACCGGAGATTCAACATAAAACATTAATTCCACACAATAAGAACATGAAGAACTCAATAACATACATGTATAATCCTTTTAGCATGGATTAAAACGATGCATTCTATCCCCTGGGAATGGAAAATGTGATTGCATGATGAAAGAACAAAGTAAATTTACAGTGTTATTAATTTCTGACGTAAGATGTTACAAATTAATAAATCAGCCGTTTATTTCAAAACTCTCAAACCTACTTGATTTTAATCAAACTTTGTGTAATTCTATCAAATGGTTTTTGTTTTAAAATAATAAAGAAAAACCTTTTTTTCTAAAGCAAGAGTACTGAATAAATAGACCCTGTTATCGGGATGATTTCTCAAAAAATAACATATCGTTGCACTATTTCCCGATCATGACAAGGATCACACGATGTTAACGGTCGGCAGGGGATCCTCGCTCGAAGTTGTGTCATTACTTTTGGATTAACCCTCGTATATATATTTTTTAATTATTTTGCTTTTATTCGATAATATTTGCATGCAAACAAACAAATGGTATATAAATTCTTTATGGACACCTGGTGTGGCGGTGCTCTCTTTGACACAAATGAAATGAAATATTAATAAATAACAATAAATGAATATGTCAGGCCTAAAATAAAATTGTTTGTTTGCAGTTGCCTACCGACCCACTGAAAATGCACCCGACCCAAACTTTTTTTTAGCCATTTGGTAAATTGATTTTTTTTTCAATTTTTCAGAATATTGAAAGTTTCGTTTTCATATTTTGACACGTTTTTTATCATTCAATGGTTTATAACAAGAGGTGAGCTTATTCATGTTTAGTAGGTGTATGAAAACCTGTTTTAACTGTTATCTAACAAAAATCTGAATTTTTTTCCAAAAAAAAAAAGAATGCCTACCTACCGACCCAGTCTAAAAATTATAGGTCGGCAACTGCAAACAAAGACTTTTTTAAGCTTGGCCTCACTACATAAAATAATTGATAAAACCAAATTTAACACAATTGAACATATAACACGTATAAACAAAAGTTTTTAACAAAGGTTATCATAACATCTGAGATTTTCAATATTTTGCAAGAAAAATGAGTTTATTTTTGCAACTGAAAAATAAAATTACCTGCATGGAAACACAAACGAGTTATGCAGAAAGTCATGTTTTTCTTTATATATTAATTTTTTGCTATTTTTTTTTTCAGTGCAATTTAATTTTCCTGGTAGTTATAGTAAGGGCAATAGTGAAAAAGAACAAAGAGAAAAAACAGTATAAAACTCCATCAATAATACCGTAAGTCAATAAGTTGTACTTAATGTTCATGTTGAAATCAATTCAGAATCGGTTTTCTTACAATGTTAATTGCAGGATAAATCTTTCCTTTTATGCTGGTTTTCGTTCGATCAACAACTGAAGCAATGACATGTTTTCTGAATAACTAAGATCTACTCAACTTGTGAAGATTAAAGATAAATTGTCGACATCTTTAGTTTTATGTAATAAAGAGTACTTTTAAAGTGTGGAGAATTTTTTAAATTAGAAATAAATAATAATTTCAAGTGATATCCTTCCTGGCTGAGTGACAGATCCGAGTTTAAAGAAAGGACATACTTAATACACTCTAGAATATAACACTCTTTATAGAGGAAATATACTTAGATGAATACTAATAATCTTTACAAAAATTTCCAATTGAATTAAATTCAAGATTAATCTTTTTAGAAAACCACTCCGGTCACTGATGTTTCTCATTCCATTATTTGGGATAAACTTCATCTTTGTTTGGATAACATATGCTACAAATAGCGATTGGCCATTCATCTTTGGAAGATTTGTGGAAGGAATTGAGGTAAACCTGGATAATGAGTTAAAATCTTAAATAATATATTTTAAAATTTTTGGTACAACTTTTTTTTTCAAAAATACATAATTTGAATTTGATATGTAAGTTGCGTTTTTCTTACCTTTAAGTACTTCAATTTGTTTGTTCTGATTAAAAAGTATTTGGAATGATTTTTAAATATTGCAGGGTGTCTTTGTTTGTATACTGTGGGTCGCTTGTAGCAAACAGGTCAGTATATATTTGAATGTGTTGAGAATATTTAGCCATCATTGTATGGGTAAGGTATGGAAAACTGCGAAAGACGGCATTTTCTTACCATTCTACAATATACTGCTGTATAAAAGAAAAAATTGAAATTGCTGTTATAATTCTTCATCAAAAACTGGGCAGAAAAATGAACATTCAAAACAATATTATCATATCTATTGTTTAGGGAAAATTAACCATTTGAAATATATTTATAGCATTGAATATCAAGTATAATGATCAAATTGATATCTTTACAGGCGATTCGGTGTTCTGTTGTAATTTTACAAAATTGATACAAAACGATTAAGATAATGAAAAGCAAAATATTGGGGAATTGTATTCATTTTAAAAATTTGACATGTCAGGTGCAAAAGAACATCACCAGAACCACTCAACGGAAATTTCCAAGCTTATTTGTTCGGTTCAAAGGGCGGAAATTCAGCACGTCGTCTTGTACCCATTTGACACAAGCTGTTCATCCAATAAATACAATGCCAAACATTTACAATGACAATAAATCGCCCGACATATCCGTGGCTCCCAACAGTCTGGAGGTACAGAGAATCTCATTGGAGGACAGCCGTAGCCCGGATGTGCAAACATTTTCAGAGCAGGATTGTAGTCCAGAGGAACAAGGACTTTCTCCAGAGGACAGACAAAATGTGTAGAAACAAAGATTCTCATTGGTGTAAATAAGACACGAGGGTCCAATGGAACCTTATCTGTTTATATATTTGTTGATGTTTACATTATCTATTATTTCATGTTATTTAGAAATATCTTCTCATCCCATGAGGTAGCCTAAAATGAAGATGCAGTTTCTGACGTTATAAATTACATTTTTGTCTCAAATTCATTGTACATAATATAATTTTGTATACTAGTATGGGTTTCTCCCTTATTTTTTTTTAAAGTGATGTCATATTTTTATTCCTTTATTCATAATCCATCACCTTTTTGTATTGAGATTTTTGAAAGTTATATAGGTTTGTTTCAATATATTTATTTATCAGATCATTTCTAGGGGTACATCATGTTTAAGTGAAAAGAGGATTTTACTTAAATTATATCATTGCTATCATTGAAGGAATGTAATATACCTGTATTTTAATTTTCTACCTCTAATTCTTCTACCTCTTAGTGATTTAAGTCTCATTTAAGGAAGCTGACTTGAGTTTTATTATTTGCAAAACACAATAGCAAAAACTGTTTAATTTTATATGATATGAAACTTACACTTCAGTATACATGCAAAGTTAAGGGAATTATAATTATAGTCGGAGAGTTTTAAGAAATTGTCTTGAGATACAGATTCACTTATTGTTAGATGATACGGGAAAGCGATAGTTGTTGGCACTTCAAAGCATATTTGTGCATATTGTAGTTGTCATTTTGATTGTATCATAATATATGATGAGTATTACTACCGGTATTTTGTTCGTTATTGCACATGACGTGCAAAATACAAATGAAAATTCTTCGACATGTAAGTCCCTATTTTTATAGAATATTACAAAGGAGAAGAAAATTCTAATGATTTATGCAAAAAATAGAAAAGAACTTAGAGATTTTCAAATTCCCTTGTTTTCAATTTGACGAACCCTCTCGTCAATGCTCACGAAAGAGCTTGATTTTAAACATAACCCTTCGAATGCAAACTCCAGTCGGCTCCCTCAAGTAAATTAGATAAAACAGATAAAGATTCAAATGTTTAAGAGAATTGGATTGAACGGGCATACTTTGATCTCATTTTAACACTTGTTTACAATTGAGTCTGTGTATATTTTAGAAAATAAAAAAAAACTTCATTATTATTGTTCTCTTATTTTTAGAAAATGAGGGTTGTAGTGTTTACTAGTCTTGGTTTAGATTCGGTTTAGATTCGATAAAATGCATTATAATTTGCAATATAGATTTGACATTTTAAAACAAGAATATCTATGTTACATGTATAAAAATTGATATGGACAAAATATTTTTTCCAGACAAAAGTCTATAACACAAATTAATAATTCTTTTTTTAATCAGTTTTTATTTTTTTTTTCGGTTAAATCTGTATAAATAAGAATTCAAAATCTACAAAATAAAATTAAAAATATAAACTTAACGTAAACGTAATCCAGACTAAATATATACCTTTATTACAATTGAAGGTAGACAATCCCATCAAAATGTGTATCATGTCATGTGTAGCATTCTGGGTAATAAGATTTTATGCAATCGCATATACCTGGGTACCAAAATTTATCATTCATTTGGGACGTAGAAAAATCCCATGAATAATTTCAAAGATTGATTGATTATATGTTGTTTAACGTCCCTCTCTCTTGAATTTCTCACTTATATGGAGACGCCACCACTTGCCGGTGGAGAGCTACAAATTTTGTCCTATACTCGGCACTCAGGGCCATTGAGCAGGGAGGGATCTTTTTCGTGCCAGCACTTACTGCGACACGAGACATCGGTTCATACGTTCTCCTGCGAAGGACCGGTCTCCACGTCCCACAGTGGGATTCGAACTAACTCCTTACTTCGCGACTCTAGTGCAGACGCTATAACCACTGCGCCACTAATTTCAAAGAAATAAGGTAGCAACAACTTTTAAGATGATAAAATCGAATAAGCCGTAATTACAAGTTTAAAATAAGCTAAAGAATTGAGATGGGAAATTCGAAAGAACGAATATAGTTGGGATATATTTTCAATTGGAATTTCATTAAATGCACACTGAAAATGCATTTTTTGTGAGTAATAAAAGATTTCTTTTCTCCAGTGCAATAACGAAGCAGCTACGCATAAAAAAATGACCTGTGGGTGATTAGCCCCTGCTGGACGGAAGTTACTCGAACATCTCACTTCCTGTAGGATATTGCGTCACTGATGATAAGCTGTGTAAAGATATTGAACTTGTTATAGGTCCTGTTTCTTTGGGAGTTATGTTTCTTTTTCCTATCTCTTAATGTACTTAAATGATATTCTAAATATTTATAAAAAGATTTGGGAAATGTATTTCCCACTGAAATAACAAATGATGGCCATGTGATATAAATGTTACATCAGCATTCATGCGAATTACAGGTACTCTTTTAATGTCATTGCAGCTTGAAATATGATGGATTATATCATAAAGTAAATTATTTTGCTATTTATCACGAAACATAATATAAAATGCAATTTTGAAGAAAAATAATTCAAATTCATATATAACAGGTATACCTTTCTTATTCAAAACAAAGTTCCCTGAAATGTGTGCCCTTTTTGATATCTATATGTTCTGTACTTTGGAAGAAGAAGGTAATAAGAAGACGGTGTGCTATCTGCATGAATTGATTCTTAAATGCACAATGTATCGACAAACTTTATAATTTTACATCCTTCCGACGGCAAAAAACAGCGTCTAAATACATGTATGAGGTAAAAATTCCTGAAAAGTTTTTCTATATACAAACATACAGACAAATGTATCATATAGATTATGCATTGAAGTGTATTTGCCCGAGTTATATGTAAATACCCTTTATAACAGTACCAAAAACAAGATGTGTTTGTGAAACACAGATGCCCCCGTATGGCAACAGAAGGAAGGTTAAGTTTTCTCAAATGCAGATCAAATATGTTAGTACCTAAAGTAAGGCCTTTTCACAAGAAATACAAACATAAAACCACCTGTTCAAAGGTTATGACAAAGGTTAACGTTTTTTAAAGGTAGGACAAACTCCGGGGTCAAGGTTGTTAGTTTATAAAAGAGGCCTTGTTTCAAAGATTACATTTGGGAAGTATGAAAGCGTTGGTCCTTACCGTTCAATAGTTATGACCAAGGTTAAAGTTTGTAAAAAATAGATCAAAACACAAAGTGAAGGTCAAAGGGTCAGAGTTGTTGATATCCAATGAAAGGTCTTGTCACAATGATTAAATATGTGAAAAACAAAAGCTCTAGCCCTTACTGGTCGAAAGTTTTGGGCAAGTTTAATGTTTGTAAAAAGTAGGTCAAACTCAAAGGTCAAGGTGAAAGGTCAACGTTGTTGATATCCAATGAAAGGTCTCCTCACAAGGATTACATATTTGAAGTATGAAAGCCCTAGCTCTTACCGTTCAAAAGCTATGGCCAAGGTTAAAGTTTTCTCGTAAGTATGGAATTCTCCAAGGTCAAGGTCAAAATGTCAAAAGTGTTGATTTCAAATGAAATGTCTTTCCAAAAAAGAATTGATATTTGAAATATGAAATTCCCAGTATCTACTGTTTAAAAACTAGGTCCACATTAAAAGTTTACAATTTTTTATGCAAAAATGTGTCAAACTCCAAGGTTGTATTTTAAAAGTAGGTCAAACTCAAAGGTCAAGGTCAAAGGGTCAAAATTCGTGGTATCCAATGACGCGTCTTCTTACAAGGATTATATGAAGTATGAAAGCCCTAGCCCTTACCGTTCAAAAGTTATTGCCAATGTTAAAGTGTTTAAATCAGTACGGAAATCTCCAAGGTCAAGGTGAAAAGGTCGTTGTTGGTACTCAATAAAAGTTCTTGTCACAAAGAATATATATGTGAAATATTAAAGTCCTGGTATCTTTTGTTCAAAAGATATGGCCAAAGTAAAAGTTGAGAAATTTTGTGTAAAATTGGGTCACACTCCAAGGTCAAAAGGACCATTTTGGTGGTACCCAAAGAAAGGTGTTGTCACAAGGAATAAACATGTAAAATATGAAAGTCATAGCTCAACTAAATCAAAAGTTATGGACAGGGACAGACAGACTGACAGAGAGACAGCTAGACAGACAGACTGACAGAGAGACAGCTAGGCAGACGGACAGACGGACGGACACGACAAAAACTATATACCCCGAAACTTCGTTTACGGGGGCATAATAATCTGTACACATTAACAGAATTGCTTCTCGTTTGTTTGGATTAAATATTGTTAACATATTTTTGAAACGCCTCAAAGGATGTGGTTTACTTAACGATAATGACCTATATCTTCCCTGACCTCATTGTTAAGTTGCAATGAAAGAGTATGTAGAACAGTTTAATTGCTTTGCTTCCTCCGGGAATATACGGTAATAAAATGTAAGAAAAATCCTAAATTACAAATGTACCTTTTTCATCATTTTCAGAATGGCGCCAGCATAATACATGTAACTGTAAAAATGTTTAAAAGAAATTATGACATACAATATAATTCACACTCAAAGGATCAGAAATAAGTCATTTTTCTGAATGTGTACACTACTGATACAGCTCTGTTATGAGTCCTTTGTAATTGATTATTTAGATTGCCTCGGAAAAGGTAGTACGTTTTATTTCTATATGTCGATCAATTAAAGGTGTATTAACAACTTAGGTTTAGAATCTTTGCTACATCCATTCCGTCTGAATATGAGTTCGATTTTTTTCACGTGTAGCAATATTTAAAAACATTCGTGCGTTTTCGTTAGATATTGGTTTACTGAGATAAATATTTTTTTTTCTGTTGCTCAAACAAGATTCTCAAGGCTTAGCGTCATTACTGTAACAGTAGATACAATATGCGTTCTTTTCTGTGTAAATATACGTCAATTAAATTTCAAATTAATAGCTGCTGTGCCTTCTCTTTATTCATTATTTATATATTTGAACCAATTATTATACTCACTTTTTGAAATATTTTTTTCATGCCGCTGGTACATGTGTACATGTACATCGCAGCTTACAGCAAATTCCTTGTAGTTTTTCATTAAATAAAAAAAAAAGGTCAAGACTTTCATTATAAAACCACTGCCTGACACAAGCTTCGATTTCTGTACATCAAGATTTGGTTTTAAGGACTTCGAGAAACTGACTTCATGAATAATTGCTCATGTAGGAATTTTCTAGACTTTCTGATTTTTATACAGAACATTCGAATCAGTATATGTGCAAAGACGTTTTCTTTTCCATTTCAGATGCAGGTTTCCTGGAGATTAGGTAATGTCGATTTAACTAACGTTTTTTTTATCCTTGCTTCTTTTTAACTTTTCTGTGTGTGGAATCCTAAATTTTGATACAATTTTGATATGTATTTTAAACTTTCGTTTCATGGAATTGGTAATAATGATTTTGAATACTTTTTGAGCTAAAGTCTTTTTTCTAATAACACATAATCAAAAATAGAAAATAATTTCAAAGGTATTTCTAGAAACTGATTACATAAATAATCGTGTATGTAAGAATTTTCTAGATTTTCTGATTTTCAAGCATAAACGATTATTTATGTAATCAGTTTCTAGAAATACCTTTGAATTTGAACTTTATTTTTAGCACAAAAATATTCATAATCATTATTACCAGAACATTCAAATCATTATATGTGCAAAGACATTTCTTTCCCATTTCGGATGCAAGATATCTGTTCATTAGGTAATGTCGATTTAACTCATGATCAACGTTTTTTAATAATTTTTTCTTTTTAAACTTTTCTGTGTGTGGAATCCTAAATTTTGATACAATTTTGATATGTACATTAAATGTTTGTGTCTTGAAATTTGGTAATAACGATTTTGAATATTTTTTTGTGCTAAAAATAAAGTCTTTTTTCATAATAACACATATTCTAAAAATTAAACTAATTCTAATACACGGTAAAAATTTTGTGAGAATGATTTGATTGGTTTACCTGGATTGTTTCATCTGAATGATCAGTATTGTATATTATATTTTTGCATTGTACGTACATGTATATTGGAATAAGCCAAAATTGTGCATCTTGAATTTATTTTTCACCATTTACTTTGAAAGCCTTGCTGTGTTGTAACAATGTTAAGATTTTAAACTAAAAAATCAGTGATCATTTTTATGTAGAGTCATCTTTATCGTCGTGATTTTTATTTTATTTTGCTTGCTTGTTTTTGTGACTTTATTTGATTTTTCATTTGTGGGAAAAGTTTAGACATATTAGGAAGAAGCCCAAGGGCCATATAGGTCACCTGAGTATCATGCAACAACCAGCTGTTGAATTTGTTTTTTTTTTTTTTTACAAATTGCATGAAATTCACAATTTCGAAAAAGGCATTGTTGCTTATCATAACTAAACACTATCAATGCTTATTTTGAATACTAAATACCCAGAGGCAAGTCAGAGGAATAAAGAAAAAATGCATTACAATCATTAGTGTCCAAACCTACAGGAACCACTGAACCTGGAGACAACATATTTCACAATTTTAGAAAAGAAATCTTTGCTCATCATAAAAAAAGTTGCTTAATAACAAAGAGCAAATTTCAAAGCATTAATTCATTTTCAGTTTATATACATTAGAGACAGCCATCCCTCGGTACCCCTGACCTAGGGATCATAAAATTTATCATTTTGGAAGAAGCGCCTTTCTTCATCATGACTATGTACATGGTTCATTGTTTTAACTAGAATCTTCAATATTCAAATAATTAATGCATTTTTTACTACATAACTTATGACTTCAGGGCCTCCAAAAAAAAAATAGACATAACATTAAAATCACCCAGGAGCAGAGGAAATGGTATCTGCTCATTTATGACTCATTACCAAGCTTGAATGTTGTCAAATCAAAACTATATACATAGTTTTTCTGCTTAATACTCAGCTGCAAAGGATAAGATTTTCAAAGAATTAAATGCATTTTTTACTACATAACTTATGAAGGATTAAGATTTATTTCCTTTTAATGAAATAAATCCAATGTTTATAAGGATAAGGGTATAAAGTTTATAAGGATAAGGATATAAGCTTTATATGGATAAGGATATATAAGGTTTATATGGATAAGGTTTATAAGGATAAGGATATAAGGTTTATAAGGATAAGGTTTATAAGGATAAGGATATAAGGTTTATAAGGTTTATAAGGTGTTATGTTATAACGATTAATAAAGTATATATTGCATTATGTAGGTCGTGGCCACAATCGCCAAATCAAAAATAAATGATTTTAAGAAGTTATATTTGTCTTTAATAATTATGTCATTATATTTCTTTTATTTTTAGGAAAATTGCAAGGTTTAACCTTCTATTTTTGAGTACTTTTTTAAACAATGAATTATATAAAATCTTTCTTCAAAATAAAAATTAATAAAATTTAGACTTACACAGTAGCTTCATATAATTTGAAACAGTAGTTTTGTCACAGAATTAAATTAATTTTTTTATTTATGATATAACACCCTCGGAATGGCGGAAAGGGACGTTGGAAGATAAAGATAATACAAAATCAAAATTTATGGAAGCAATCTATTTAGTGATCAGACCTTTTGAGCAGAGGTGGGATCAGGTGCCATGGAAGAGTGAGCATTCCCTGCCGACAAGAGACATTTGCCATGTTCGACTTGTGATGTTCGGGTGAACAGAACAAAATCTATAGACAAATCGGTGAGACAAGTGCTAAACTGTTGAAGCAAAAAAAATATGAAACTTAAATGCACTTTGAATTTATATAATCGCAACATTTCGTAGTTGTAGTTTTCAATTATGGCTATTCTAAATCAACTTTTCATCGACTTCATGAAGATTTAGTTTTCCTTTGAACGGTTAATATTTCAAACAATTCTGAAATCTATTAAAATGCATCTCGTATATATTCGACACAACCGTGCAATCCACAACTCGTTGCAAAAATTGATTTTTATTCCCTACGAATGCACGTTATCCGGTAGCGAACCTTGAAACACGCTTCAATTTTACTTTTGAAACCTGTTATTTAACTTTTAATTTGTTGTTATTGTGATTTAAATATAAAATTGAATGATTTTTATAGTGAAACATGACAGGAAATCTAAGTCAAACAGCATCGGACACCATGGTTATAGAACAATGGCTTCAATATCTTTACGGCGCTGTATATCTTCTCATCAGCATAGTGTCTGCAATTGCAAATGGGATCTTAATCTATATATTCTTCTGGGAGAAGACAAGAAATTCGTTTTGTATCCTACTGCTTGGCCTTTGTACGGGTGACTTTTTTATGTCAGTTTTCGGAACGTTTACCACAGCTCTTGCATTTCTCATAGGAAGACGCATTATGTCTTTCCATGTCTGTCAGATACAAGGAATCATCATGACTTTCCTCGGGCTGTCACAGATAGTTCTGCTCTCTGCTATATCTTTTACGAGATTTGTAATAATGTCTTATCCAAACTTTAGACTCCATTCTTGTTATGCAAAAGGCATTGTATGTGGTTCTTACGGATACTGTCTAACGTTGGCGATATGTCCAATTCTTGGATGGGGTTCTTACTTGCCAAATGTTACTGGGACATCTTGTGAGCCGATCTGGGACAGCCTCGCTTTGAGGGATATCACGTTCAACATTTACATGCTAATGGCTTGTTTGGCACTTCCTCTCATCTTGATTTGCTTTTCTTACTTCATGATTTTTGTAAAGGTAAGTTATGAAAACTCATCCGCTCAACGTGTTTAACAATGTTTATGTTTAAGAAATCTTAATACATACATGCTATGAAGTTTGGGTTTAAATGCAAACACAAAACCAAAACTTAAGATATCTTGATATATTTGTTGGTTTGTCTTTTGTTAAATTAAATTGACAATTGACATTGAGATGTCGCATGATTTGTATTGAGATTTCTTTTAAAATTCCTTCCATGTTTTCAGGTTAAACACCAGTGTATAAGCCATGATTCCAGAAAGATTCGGGTAACAAATACACTTCTTATAATGATTGGTAAGTATATTTCTAAAAAAAAATATTGAATTAGCTATTAAATGAATCGGCAAATTCACCAGAATAGGCCCCCTGGACAACAATGTGTAATACACTGGTTAGAAAAATAGAAAAATGAAGAATTATTGAGTTACTGTAAAAATATAATCTTCCTGTGTGCAAAAGTTATATAATGCTCTAATGTGTTTTGGTGGAAATTTGTTTCAGCGAACTGGCAGTCAAAAAAAAATTCTCTATCGGCAGATTAAACAAAAATTGTCTTTCCGCGGAAATATGACTTTCTTGGAGAAAAATAATTACTGCTACATGTTCAACTCAAATAATATAAAGGCTGCTTTGCTTAAATGATCTTCTGTAATTTTATATCATTTTTTCGCACAGGATTATTTATTCTATCCTGGGCGCCATACACTATATTATCTGTCTTTCAAATGACAAGGAAGAGAATGGCACTGAATCCAAACTTAGTGAGTATTCCTGGAGTGTTTGCCAAATTATCAGCACTGTGGAACCCCGGCCCGTTATATACTTTTACAGAGAAAAGGAATTTCGCAAAATGTGTAGAAAACATGTTTGGTGTTTTAAACGGTTGTCCAGCTGGCCTCGTCATCCAAGTCTTCCCCAAAGAAGAGACCACACCGTCACGGGGGAATGTTTTATTCTCTTTAAAACAAGATGACTTTAACCTAAAAATAAAATCTTGTGTGCAAAGTTATCTGACAAGGTATTTGTTAATAAAGCTAATCGAATTGAGAGAAGACGTGTTCAAAGTTAATTACAGTGTACTTCTTGGATTTAATTTTCTTGAAACTCATTTTTTTTCTTGTCTTACACAAGCACTCGACTCATTGATTAAGAAATCAATAAGCTGCATGTATTATTTTTTCAGCATCTTTTAAAGGCCAAATCAAACCCTTCTTATTCATAAATATATATAATTCTCCCCACAAGTATTTTCATTAAATGGCTGTATTTGTAGGTGCCATCCAATACTTTGTCCACTCTCATAGCTGTTGTATCATATGCTAGTGTGGCACTTTTAATTAAGGCTTTAATCAGGCATTTAGAGCCATTGAGCAACGAGGAGTCTTTATCATGCTAAAGACAATCCTGATACGATTCTTAAGGTATCCTCTGAAAGATACGTACGTTTCCTTTCAATGTACCGAACGCTTTAAAGAAGAACTGTTGTTATCTTTTCTTTGACTTGGGTTAGAATCCCATGAATACCACATTATCTGTAATGAATGAAATATTTTTGTTGATTTAATATTTTCTTAGAAATGTTTGTATATTATAAGTTCAAAAAGCTTAATAGAGAGACATTTGCTGTTACAAGTAATAATTAATTCATAATTTTCATATATGTTAAGCTATGGGCATTCTGCACGCTTTGTTCAACCATCTCCTTTAGAAATCTAGAATAGGTAGATCTGATCAAACTCATTAGTAATGACTCCAATATTTAAAGTAATAAACTCTTAAATGAGATTTTGAAAAATTATATCCTCGGCATACAATTAAAAACCAATTTATTACAAGTTGAACGAGGTTGAAATACAAACTTTACAATCAAAGAACAATTCTGGAAAAGCTTTTTCTGCTAAAACCAAAACATTATGTTAATATAAAATGTCCATATCGTTTATTGTCTACATTATTTACAGGGGGAAGAAAAGACGGATTGCTTATTGTCTTTCAACTTTCTAACACGTTTCCTAAAGAAATTTGTATAATATTCTATTTTATTCTGACAAAAGGCTCAGATCTTTTTTTATATACCACCCCCCCTCCCCCATCATCCTAACTTTTTCTTTGACAAAAACCATTAGAATAAAAAATCATGCTCTTGAAGGACTCAATAATTTGATTTTAATCAGATCGATTTCGTCAATTAAATTAATAGACCAAAAGCACTCATATATATTTATTAGAAATCATTCCATAGCAAATTATATTAACACAGACACATAAAGGGCTTGAAAAATTCCCTCAACATTTGTCCTCTTGGAGAACATGGCAATGATTGATATCTAATCCAATTGTGCACTTTGTCTTAGCATAATAATATATCGATTTAAAAAATATTCCCTTTGTTATTATGTTTTTGTTGCGGTCACACAGAAATGCATCGCCTAGTTTTATGATCCTCTAATATGATATGAAAATTCTAAAATGAGGCGATTTGTTGGATGTTGAAATAAGTAGATATACCTAACAGTATTAAAGCTCATAAGTCCATTAAACATTATAGAATATGAGCAGAGAAAAACACAGATCTCTAAACATCAGAGGTGGGATCATGTGCCGTGGAGGAGTGAGCATCCCTTGACGACTGGTCACATTCACCGTGTGCTCTTTACCATGATCGGGAAATAGCGGAAAAAGGCCGTCGAAATCATGGTCTAACAATTCTTACGCTCATCGATTTGCCAGAAAACAGGAAATGGGTAATAATAGGTAGTAGACTTTGAAATAATGTTTTAGTCATTAAATAATGTGGTCCCTCGCGGTTAATTTTTTGGGAATATGTGTTAATTTGCAAAATGATTGCTTCTGGAATAAAATACCGAGAAAATCTGTTTTATGATCTTGATCACTGTGTATTTTAATTATCTAAAACGTTATATTATGTATTATATTTGCCTGAACTTTTTGAGATCTGGACCGAAAGCAGATTGATGGTGATAGCTAGAGGCTTGTAATTATGCAAAATTACTTCAGAATCACAAAATCTGAAATAAGATTTTTTCAACATGATACACTTACACCCGTACTACACAATAATTATCTAATTGAATGACGTCCCAATAATTATGCCCCCGAAATCGAAGTTCCCGAATGTTACACTGTCCCTACGTCACAACATCTTTAACCTTATCTATTCAAAAGTTTTTACCATCTTTAACCTTATCTATTCAAAAGCTTTGGCCAAGGTAAAAGTTGGGTAAGTTTTTGCAAAAAGTGGGCGATCTCCAAGGTCAAGAGGTCAAATATGTTGAAATCCTACAAAGAGGAATACACGTGTGAAATATAAACGCCAAAGCTCCAACTAATCGAAAGCTTTTGGCTTTAAACATCTTTTTTTCTGGTTTGTAAAATAAGTTTCAGATTAAATTCTGTTTCCAAAACAAAGTCCGAACAGAGCAAAAACACAAGCATTTTTTGACATAATATGATATGGATCAGATGCTTTGGAGAATAAATCATCCCCTGTCAACCGTTCCAAGACGCCGTCAGCTCTGCATTGATAAAGACAGAAGGTATTTTTAGGTTAATACTTAGATTTTAAGAAAAGAAATAAAATTTTATAAATAAACATTTTAAGCAATTTCACCTCTATATAGCAAAACCAATATAAAGGTTTATAACGGACAATTACCTGGAATATATTTATAGATCTTCAGATTTTAATCAGATCCTTTAATCCTATTAATATCGCTATCTTCAGTTCAAGAGACATGATAAATTAGCTGCCAGGAAGGAATTAAATTGATCTTATTGTCAATTAGGGTCACAATTAGGCAAACCACAGTTGCCTCTTGTATAATACATCATATCGACACTGTACTTTTAGTTTCAATTTTGCAGCTTAACTTGTCAAATACTCACATTGTAGTTCTACACTAGTTAAAATCTTCTAAACTTTCTATTTTCTGTTTTTGAGTGAGTTAAAGAATATTGTATCTCCTTTTTTTTTATTTCACCTAGTTTCCTCTGTCTAAAAAATGACAATATTGCTTGTGATCCTTTTTGTTATATCAATCAAATAATATTAATATTTTCAACCTGTTAAAGTATCAGATTATTATTTTGAAGTATATAGGAGCTCATATTATTTAAAATACTGTAAATGTTTCCCCTGCAGACTACGTAACAATGCGTTTACATGTATATACTTATCGCCAGTTTACCGGATATTAGTTTCAAATTATATATATATACATGTAAATCGTGTTTATTACGTCAGCAGACCGGTAGTTAAATACTTCGAAGGAATGACCTAAGGTTTATTATATACATAGCTTTATCATTCATATATATGAAACAAAGTTCTATAAATGTGCAAGGTACATATCGTGTGTGTGGATTTATTGAAATTTAAAAAAAGATGCATTAAAGATACAGACAGAGCGCATGTCAAGAAATTCATATGAATGTGTTACGATGTAAAAAGGTATGTTGCATACTTTCTCAAATTTTTACAGAATTTGTTTCTGCTATTGGATTACTCTCTTATAAAAATGCAGAGGCATTGTACAGAAAAATAAAAATGATCCCCTATTTTTATCCGCAATTGAAATTTAAATTTCAAAAGATGCTAAATTGTGTTCTTTGTTTGTTAGTAGGAGTATTAACGTCGCAGCTATTGCAGAAAAAATTACATAAACCGCCTACGAGGGTTATGTATTTTTTCTGCAACAGCTGCGACATTTATTCCCGTACTAACAATCAAAGAAAGCTTTTTATTATTTAAGCATCGTCTTCGTAGGCATATCAGAATAGTAGCTCTTTTTTATATCAGGAAAAGCTCACTTCACCCTTCAGTTGCCTGTCACGTAATATTTTAAAACCATTCTCTACTTCCAAGAACACTCTGCTGTTTGTGTTGATGATTTTAGTGATCTTTAATTTACTTATTTTTTGAGTAAGTATTATTAAAATCGATATACGTATTTAGTATAAGTAAGCAGAAATTTATATTCTTCATTTATACAAAGACATAATAAATTTATATCTTTACTCGCACTTAGAGTCATTGAGCAATGACTGGGCCGGACTGGGGTCAGGTATATTGTACATTCGCTGTACATACAAAGTGGTATTTCTGCTCCCAGTAACTGCTGGCCGTCTTGTTAATATTGGACCACGGCGTCCACCGTGTCAGCTTTTGCTGATCTATAATGGTAAAGATATCGTAACATTTGTGACAAGGGGTCTCGGTTTTTAAGGACTCCTCCGAAGGATCCACAGCTTCGTTTCGAGGTTCCGAGCGCGAAGGAACAGTTGCTACCTATTTTCATCGAGTAAGGTCTGTCCTGGCCGAAATTTTAACTGAAGACCTATGAAACAGGAGCATGTTGGCATCCTTGTCAAATGATGAGGCTAATACGCGAGTTTCGAGATTTTAAGTCTCCTACTAAAGAGGCGCAAAAAGTATCCATTTCAGAGTGGAAGTGGGACAGCTAGGTTGCAAGTGCATACAAACGTGCCTAAATAAATGAAGATGTTTATGGCTTTAAAAATAAATTCAATGCTTTAGAAAGATAATAATGTTAAGCAGTGATGCATTTGATGATTTTATCAAGCTCAACTATGCATATTTTACAAGTCTACTTTTCGATAAGGATACTTGAAAACGAAAGAACCGTCGTAGTAGGTAAAAGATTTCCTTGATTGTACTACAAACCTGTTATAAAAAGTAAGTGTGCTCTTTGAAGTTATGATAAGGTAAAGAATCAATGTGTCATTTTGATTGCCGACAAGCAATGATCAGATGCATGTGTACCGTATTTATTAGAGGTCTTTATCTCTTCCCTCGTCTGAAAAGTCTCACATCCACTGATGTCTTTTTTTTTTGTTCTGATTTTTTTTGTTTAAAAAATTGACGCCTTTTCATTAATTCTGTTATTTCCGAATGAAATAGTGCATCCTGACAATCATGTAGTGATGACAAACCTGTATATCGATGATCCAGTGTATCCAATATATAAATATCTGTCACACCTGCCTGTTTACGCGGCAACGAAACTCCCCGCCTCAAGAAGAGAGTGCACCAAGGGAGATAATCTCGAAACTTGCGTATTATAACATTTTATAAAGTCAACATTTTAATGAATGAAGGATTGATATGCTATTACGTCCATTATGTTGACCACAGAATTTTAGATGTCGACTTTAAACAAGACTTTTGAAATCCTCGTACATGTATCATCAACTTATTTTTCAATAACCAGCCATGTTTTTTTTTTCTCAATTTTTTTCTCAAATCAAATAAACTCTCAGACACAATTTTCTTGTGCAGCTGATAATATTGTTACACAAATAAGGAAAATGACAAAATATTCATTCTTCTACTTTTTGTTAATCTCTAGATCAGTATTAGACAACATAAGAAGAAATAAGAATAATGTTTGCCAGGGGAAAGGAATTGCAGAGGGTATGTCAAACAAATGTGTATTTTGTTTACTTACTAGTATCACAACTTAAATTTCAGTAAAGCGAATTATCTTGCATGATAATGATCCTATTTTCAATTTTACATCATATTATATTTAACAATGAATTTGTCAACTTGCTTTTTCTACAGATGTTTCTTCAATGTGGGCCAAGACGTGGTTTTGCCAACAAGGCTGTTTTTGATATAGAAGTATCAAACAAGATAATACTTTCATATAAATGATTGAATGTAAACCTAGTACTTTTTTGCGGCAATGATCTTAATTCTGAACTTTTTTGCTTTGGAAATCCCTTTTGTTCACTGATTTATACTCATGATAATAACGTACAAATTTATATCTACGGTTTTAAATCTCTAATGTTCTTATACATATACGTTAAAGCGCTGATCAGATTAAAAAAAAGGCGAGGACACTAATTTTTAATTACGCTAATTTAGGTACGTTTGCATTTGAAATATGAGTACTATGATTATGACACCTACTTAAAGTACGTTTGCTTTTAAAATGTAAGCAATTTACTTAGAGTACAAAAGTGATGACTTATAAATAAGCAATTAATTTTTGATATGAAATAATTTGGTTTGTTGAAAACGAGCTGAAGATTTTTTTCATTTTTTTCCTTTTCAGCCTTGCCAATTACATGGACTAGAAACTGGTCCATCAACCAGAACTACCCTTACGAGGACGGATGCCCTCACATATTTCACAATGATGTCGGAAATGAGAGAGATAGGGAATGTAGCAAACATATTGTTTAATCAAAACTTAATTCGAGGATTTCTTCATCTGTGTCCAGGAATGGTACGAATTTCTCCCATTTTTCTTCTCATACACCCCGCATGGTCCTTGATATAAATATAAACATCATATGAAATACTTATTTAATGCAAGGGAGTAACATTTGCTAATACGCGATTTTAGAGATTGTAACTCTCCTACGATAAAAGCACAAAAAGTATCCATTTCAGCATTTCAACATGGAAGTGGGACAGGTTGTTTCTGTATACAAAATTAAATGAACGATGTTTATGGCTTTTAAAATTATACATCTAATGTTATCAAAATATAATAATGTTCAGCAGTGATACATTTGATGATTTTATCAAGCGCAACTATGTAATATATTTAAATACCGGTATAGGGTACTTGAAAAGGAAAGAAACCTAAGTCGTGGTCTTTATGAAAAGTAAAAGATTTTATTAATTGTACAAATGTCTCTAAAAAATAAGTGTGCTCTTTGAAGTTATAAAAAGGAAAAAAATCAATGTGTCATTTAGATTGTCGGCGTGTAATAAAGAGATGCACGTGTACCGTATTTATTAGAGGTCCATATCTCTTCCCTCCTCTGAAAAGTCTCACATCCATTGATATTTTATTTTTGGACGATTTTTTGCTTTAAAAAAATGACGCCTTACATTAATTCTGTTTTTCTCGAGTTGAAGAGTGCATACTAACAATCATGTAGCTATGATAAACCAGTATATCGATTATGCAATGTATACAATAAAAATATCTGTTCAACCTGTTTATTTACGCGGCAACGAAACTAACATTCCTCATCTACAATAGAGCGCTTCCAGGGAAATAATATCGAAACTTGCATATTCCTTCATTACTATTAGCCCCTTCACGGTAACTGCGTTACTACTCTTTTACAGGGCAAAATAATAACGTTTGGCGAAGTTTTTGTTGAGAGATAATTAGGTGACGTGTATTTAACAACAACTTTTACGTCATATTTCACTAAACTACATTATCATTTTGCCCTCCAAAAAGAGCAGTACCGCAGTTACCGTGAAACGGTTTATACCGAAACAGACAAGAAAATGTCTAGCTATTTCAGTCTGTTTAGAAATGTTTTAGAATGTTTAAGTATTGAAATATATGCAATGTAATATAATATACATGTAATACGATGTCGAAAAAACCAACGTTATTATTATTCCCCTTTTCTTCATTTATTGTTAAATAAATTATAAATTTATGTGAACCTATTGCAAAGTACTAAAAAGAAGAATATATTAAAACCGTAATTATAACATAGGCAGTCAACAATATCTATAATGATATATGTGTTGTTTTATGATAAAGGAAGCAGTGCGCGCCGGAGTAGAGGCAGCCATTACACAAGAAGACATAGTTGTCGGTACATATCGTATCCATGGCTGGGCTTATGCTAGAGGGATAACAGTCGAGCAAATTCTTGGAGAATTTCTGGGTAAAATAAGTGAATCAAACTAAATATTTGCTGAAGTATTACTAACTTAAAGACTTGCAACAAATGTGTTACACTGTTCCCTTGTGACTTTCATTCCATTCATTCGTATTACGACATTTTTTTTCGCTAAAAAGACTTCATTACAATAGAAAAGACGAAAAAATGTTTATAGGGGGATGTTCAAATTCTTGTTAATTCAAATTATTTGTTTAAATCTTTGTAAATTTAACTTATTTGTGAGTAATCTGCATTGAATAAAAGACTTGATCGTACTCAGAATTTGGAGACAGAAACACCGAATGCAAGTGTATATATAAGCATTATTAAGTTCAAGTTCAGGTTCAAGTCCATTTATTCACTCAAAACTATTTAAAACACATGGTACATGAGGACAATGGAAAATATTAATAGTATGTATATTCGGGTCAGAGGTATAAGTATATGGTATACATAATCAGAAAATGAAATAGGAGAAAGAGAAAACAAGACAAAAAAACAGCAAGTAAGAAAAATTCACATTGAGAAAGCTGAGGTAGTCGTTTTATTATACAATGCATAGTATAGCTATTAGGTTGTCTTTATCGTTTTAGTCAGTATAAATATGAAACAGACATGGAAGACTTTAAGACTATATATGTCAGGGTCTATTGTTGTAAAATTTCAAAATATTAAGAAATTATCAACTTCTTATCATGATAAAAATTCTTGTTTTCTGCATTCACATTTTGAAATTTATAAAATAATTTTTTAAAATCCATAAGTTAAAAAGATAAATTTTACGTGAAAAAAAACACCAAACGTTTAAATTTTTATCGGTTTTGAATAGAAAAAAATGTATCATCTGTCCTAATTATTGTGCCTTGTGTACCCATAGGTTTGTTTTCAGTGAATAAATTAAATCTAAATACATGTACAAATTGTATTCATTTCTGTCTGATAGCAATCTGATTTCTATGATTGTCAGACAAGTATCAAATATACATTCTTAAAATGCTTTGGGAATGCTCACTCCTCCATGGCACCTGATCCCATCTCTGATGTTTCGGAGGTCCGTGTTTGCTGTGCTCCTTTTTTGTATTGTTTTATGGACTTTGAGATTGAATACTGTTCGTTATCTCCATATCTTCCTTTGTTCTAGCGTCTTAAGAAAACAATTCTTTCATCATGCTCATTACCTTTATTCCACAGGAAAATCAACCGGCTGTTCTAAGGGAAAAGGTGGAGCTATGCATCTTTATTCGAAGAATCTATTTGGTGGCAACGGAATAATAGGGGCGACTGTGAATATTTAATGTTTTCAACTTATCTTTTTACAAGAATTAAACACTGAAATGCAGTGGTATTTTCCTTTCAGTACGTCATGATTGTCTTGGTTTGGGTTTATCATCCCCTCGCAACAATCGTGTGTGTTTATTTGTGAATGAGTGTGTTAGCGCTGTACAAAACAGCAGAGAATCGGGATCAATTTCGGATGCTATTTTGATATGTTTGTTAATTTTAATTTGATAGTTTGAAAGGAAATAAATTATCTAAAGTTTTTTCTATTTTTTCCTCTCTTTTTATGAATAACACAAAAGGAGTTACATATGTACTCCATTGTCCTTCCATACCGCTTGCTATTCTTTTTAATTAACCAAAAAAAAAACTTTTTCCAAGATCCTTTTATGTTCACTCTTATCATTTACTAAAGGTACCCCTTGGAACTGGTGTAGGCTTTGCTATGAAATACAACAAGAAGCCGAATGTATCTGTTTCGACCTATGGAGAAGGTGCGGCCAATCAGGGTCAGATATTTGAAGCCTTCAATATGGCCAAACTCTGGAACCTTCCGTGTATCTACCATTGTGATAATAATGTATACAGTATTTCAACGAAAGCAGAGAGGGTGACTGCCAGCACGGATTTTTACTCCAGGGGAGACTACATTCCTGGATTGATGATAATTCCTTTGTCTATGTTTTCATATGTTTACCATTCTTCCTCATTTTAAATAAGATCACTATTGTTTAATGGACTATTGAGCTTGAATACTGTTCGTTATCTCCATATATTTAATTTGACATACTCCTTATTTTAATGATAAGGTTCTGAATTCCCCCATATTGTGCATAAATTTGCAATATATGTGAAAAAAATAACGTAAGTGGGTAGAAGTAAAAATTTTCAGTTGAAAGCACTTGTATTTGGCTGAAAATACAACTGCCTAGGATTAGAAAATAATAGCCAACAATTGCTCTGTGCAGTGTAATTGTATTTGCATGTTGACGGTCTCTGCAATAATTTCATAATCACACACTCAATAATTAGTTTAAACTTTAAACCCGGGTATAATTCTGACGGAAACTTGAATGTGTGATGTCCGTTAATCTTCAATCGTCGATTTCCCTTACTTAAATGCAACAACAATATGCCTTCATCAATTGCATTCGGGGTTCATATCTCTCAGTTGATTCGATACGCCAAATCAAGCTCTATGTTCAAATGTATGTACAATTATTAAAACGATTTAAATTATTGACAAACAAGTTGATGAAATAAGAATATAAAAAGCAGTCTCGTTTAAGTCATCATTTGTAGGGTCAATACAACGCCCTTGTCTGCAAATACAATTTATGATTGAGTCAAATGCTGACTGAGTTTTCAATGCTAATTGTTAGGCCATTGTTTGCACATGGAAAGGTAGACGGGTTTCTCCGTTATTTCCCAATCATGACAAGTAGCACACGGTGGATGTGACTAGTCAGCAAGCGATGCTCAAATCTCAATGGCACCTGAACACCTCTGATGTTTTGGAGGTCCGTGTTTACTCTGCACCTATTTTGTATTGTTTAATGGATGCTATTTGTTATCTCCATTAATTTCATTGGTATTAGACCAATGGATAATACAAAACAAGAAATTTAGCCCAGTGCAGTGCAAAACAAGAAATTTAGCACCAGTGCAGTGCTCTGTATTGTTTTACTCAATTTCTGAATAGGTTGATGGTATGAATATTTTGGCGGTTCGAGAAGCTTTTGTTTTTGCCAAAAGATATGCTCTGGAAAATGGTCCAATTATAGTGGAAACGATGTCCTATAGGTACGGAGGACATAGTGCAAAGGACAAGGGTTTTGGGTAAGATGGCTTTATTGTTTATTGTAGCACCCACCCCTACCCACCAAAAACAACATTGTTTAAAGATGTAAAAAAAAACCGCTAATACTTTACATTTTTAGAGAGAGAGTCAACTTTAAGGTAGTAATACTTAAAATATTATACAGTTATAGATCAAAAGACGAAATCGACTTAATTAGACAAAGAAAGGATCCAATAGAGACTTTTAAGGAGAGAATATTGATTGAAAACATGACAGACGAAAACGAATTGAAGGTAAAAAAAATATAAATGAAGCTTTCAATTTGAGAGGATATATAATTTTTTTTTTACTTATACCAGTTTATTAGATGTAATCATACTTCCATCATTTAGCATATAGCTGAAAATATCAAAGAAGAAGTGCTAACTGCGGCAGAAAAGGTCAAGGGTCATGAAGAACTTCCTGTTTCCTGTCTTTATGAGGACATCTACCAATCTTTGCCCACACCCACACTGTTGTAGCGAAGTATAATACGCTCACCGTTCATTTAATTTCATTAAATAACGCCTGGTATTGTTCCGGTTTGCTTGATTTATATATATATATTTTTGTTTTGATTACATGTATTTCATTTCATATTTTTTAAAAATAGAAAGATTCTTGTTCGAGTATAATGAATATTTTAAATATACTATTACATAGTGTATTGGATTTTCTTTTCTAAATTTAGAAATGAGTTGATTAGTTGTTTTTTTTTGTTGTAATTTTTCTCTTTCTGTTCACTGTATCTCGATGTTTCTTTTTATGCGGTATTTCAAGAATTGTAAATTCTAGTAAAGTCCATTGAGAAAGTTAAATTACATTTCGGATACTGAACTTTTGATATTTGTATATAGGAATATAACAGACTGAATTATTTTTCCCATTTAAAAATTCATCTCTGACAAAACTGTATTTTATTATGTTTTTAATCAAAAAGATTTTTATGAAGGTGCAGCTCAAGAAGAAATAAATATCAGACGTTATTTCCATTTCTATATGGTAGCATTTTTCTGCTTCAAAAGCTATAAAATATAATAACATGTGACTTGTTTACATCAACATGCAATATAATAGTGTTATCCTATATCTTATTTTTTAACATGCAACTTACTTATGTCAACATACAAGATAATAAGTTGCTAAAGATATATATGTTGACATTATTAACTTGGATGCTAAGATATATACTTTGCTTGTAGACATAAAAAGATGCATGTCTAAAATTAATCTTGCATGTTGACACAAATAATCGCATTTTGACATAATTGTCTTGAATGTTATAGTTGACATAAATAAATCGCATGTCTACATCGTTTTGCATCTTGCATGAAGAGTGTCAGATACTGGCGTTAACAAGTAAATATTTACCAAAATTTACATTATCATGTATATTCTAATAAGAACTACCTAGCTAACTAGCATGTCAAAACCAGTATTTTGCATGTTGAAATCAATGTGCTGCATGTCAACTTCATCAGGTGGCATGTAAACATAATTCATCATATGTGTATGGGCAGAAATATGCCACGATAAATATCATCTTAAGGACAGGTGATACATGTATAAACACACTTGTGTCATAAAAAGTGAACATGACAAGGTGAGTCACGTATAATGAGTAAAATGAATAAAGGTCTATGCATGATGAGGACTATATATAATCAACATTTTAAAATGGTATTCATGTATATATAATTGATTTTTATTTTATAGATGAAATATATTTCCAATACATTTTTTATATTTATATAAACTAACAGGCATCACATGATGTCAAAAATGATGTTTTTATTTTTGCAGTCAAACCTTTTTCTTGACATTTTTTCTTATGGGAAACATAGAGCGCAGCTTGGAACATGCAACATTTTTCTGTCAGTAATAAAACTTGTTTAGATACATTTTTTGTAAAAATATCAAGTTTGTTCTAGTTTGCGCTCAATATTTTCTGTGAAAAAACTGCTTAAAATAAGCTTTATGATGTCATAATTCTAAATTAATGGCATTTTGATCAAACTGAACATTATCAAAAAAGGTCACATGTATAGCCGTGCAAATCAAAACTATATATAAAGTCAAATCAAGATATTCATTTTAAGGTACCATGTGAGACACATATCATATACTAATCGTATTTTCTAACAATTGTGATGAGGATTGCCCATGGACTGACGGGATTAGAAAAAAGTCAAACTTTTAGAATATTTTTACGGCGCTATATTTAGGATATGTTATATAAATTATTAAAAAACGACTTTTTATCTCGTGAAAACGACTTATTAACTTGTGAAACAGATAACATACGTATCTGGTGAAACCGATATTGTATGTGATTTTTACGAGATAATATGTCGTTTTCACAAGATGATATCTCGTGTTCTCGACATTATATGTCGTTTTCACGAGATAATAAGTAATTTTCACAATTTAATATATCGTTTTCACGAGAAATTGTGTTGTTTTCAGAACATATTATCTCGTTTTCAAGAGATATGTCGTTTGAACGAATTTTTTTTTTTTTTAAAAAAAATTCTTGTCCTAAATATACCACCGTACATTTTTTCAACTGCAATGAATAAACTTATGTCCGTAACAGATAACCGTAGTTCAAAACCGGAATTTAGTTTAACACTGAAAACCGGCAATAACCATTATCTTTTAAAAGATACATAATGGAAGGTGCAAAGACATTTATGAAAACTCATTACAAAGAGATATGTGTTACTGCTGTTCTTGGAATTGCTGTCATAGCAGTGTTTAAGAAGTGCAGAAAGAAAAGCAAGTAAGTGACTAACCACATTCCTATGCGTATGTATGGAGAGCCAGAGTGGTCGTAACAACTGTTTGTGCATTTTTATGCTTTATTTTTACTATAGCTCGAAAACAACATGAGATATAAAGTTAAAACTTTAACAGTTTATATTTACATCCACTGAATATTTTCTCCTTTATTTCTTAAGAAACCCCATTGTATCACTGCATAAAAAACATGTCGCCTGTACAGATTTCTTAATATTTGTTCCATCAATGAAACGTAAAATATATACATCATTAAAAAAAAAAAATTGCTTTAATTGATTATTTAAACAGATATAAAATACACAATAAAATGTCTGTTTAATACTGTACTTTTAGTTTAAAACCCGCTTACGCGGGTTATGAAGAAATAATATATGTGTATCAACAAACAAAGAAAGCATTTTATTGTTTAAATAACCACTTTATTATTGAAGAAGAAATAAAAATTATCACTTGAAAACTAATATTCAAGAAAAATATTTATCGAGAAAATAGATATAAAAAATTTGCATATGCGAAAAAATGCACCTGCTTAATTCTTTACTTTTAGTGAAGACCATCATTGCAGAAATAATATAAGTTGGACGTGAATGGTCTTTGAAAAGCTGTTACTGAAAGCATTAGATATACCTATAAAATCCGCCATTGTCAATGTACTTTCGGTTTCAAATCTTAGCATTTGCACAAAATAAATAGGGAAAATGACTTTCCAGAGGCTATCAAAGTCCAACTTGTTTTTCATTGATAAACATTTTTATTTTTTCTGCAATGATGGCTTTCAATAAAAGTACGGAATTAATTGAGTGTATTTTTTAAAAATATAGGCTTTCTAAAAAGAATTTTTCTGATGAATATTTTTATTCAGTATTTGTTATCGAGTGGTACTTTCAATCTGTCAATGATATATATATTTACTGTAAAAGTTTCAGCTTTATATACCACATAGATTTGGAGCTTTTGTAAAAATAAATTTTTGGACATGTTGCTCTTTGATGAAACCTTAACAGTTACGCAAAAGTTTATGGAACGTCCAGTTAATATATATCAAAATATTTCAACCTTTAATCAAATAAGTGCACTTATCTTCAAATAATTGAAACTATCTTTAAATGAATATTTAGATATGTACCTCTTGAATTAAAGATACATGTAGGTCCAAATGAATGAGAGATAAATGTGAATAATTAAACCTAGGTTCAAATAAATTACACCTATCTTTTATAGAATTATGCATATCTGCAACAATTAAAGATATGTTCAATTGAATTATACCTATCTTCAATTCATTTGAAGATAAGTACAATTTATTTAAAGATAGGTATGTATATTTGATTTAAACTCCTCAAAGATTTGAAGATAGATACAATTCAATTATACCAAGGTAAATTTTTTTTTCTGTTATTGAAAAGTAATTAAAATTATTAAATCTCCCTCTAACAGCGAACTAAACATCACAGGAGAGAACTGAACATAGCATTTTCATGGAAAGTAGTTTTTCCCATTTGCACATGTCCTATCTTCCAACCTGTATCTATTTTTAATTCATAGCATTTTTACATAACTTCAAATCAACTGTATCTATCTTCAAATGAATGAAAGATAGGGTTGTATGATTGAATAAAACCTATCTTTATTTAAAGATAGATATAATTTATTTGAAGATAGGTACAGTTGATTTGAACATGTTTAAGATATGTTTAAAATTTAATTTAATTATTTTAATTTGGCGATCCCAAAAAGTGGGTATACAATATTAGTAGTATATGTATGTTTCATTTCTGATAAAAGAAGATAAAATAAAAGAGAGAGAGAGAGAGAGAAAAAAGACGTTTCAAGATAAGAGAATTCTTACGACAAATATTTCATTAATTTCTTTTTAGATCATATAATTACGATCACTCAATATGTATTTTCTACATCTCTCTCTTTTAAATATGAAGTAAAATTTAGAATTGTCCTGTCATATTTCATTTTCTTTCTTTTTATTATTACCCTTCGCTTGAAAAGTTGAAGGATATATAGAAGAATGTACCTTTTGGGCTTTATTGTGCCCTAAAAATTAATGTTCATAAAATGTTATGATGTTGGCTTTAATAAGAGTGGAGCAGATGAATATGATAAATCATTAAAGAATATGGCATGAAAGAAGGCCATTCTGGAAATATAACGTCATTAATTTGATACATTTTAAATTCTTTATAAGTTAAGAATGACTCATTTATGTGCTTTAAAGAATAGTCTTTGCCACCGTCGCATCAACTTCAAACTTCAATTTTTAGATAATATTTTATGTAAACTGCTTTGAAAATTTAAATATCTCAAAATCTTTGTGGGATACGGTGGAAGATTATGTTTTCTGCAAAAAAATTCCACTGAAAATTTATTTCCTCTACAAATTTTTAAGAAAATACGGAAAATACACAATTTAATGACGGCACAATTAATATATAGGAGGTTTCATGAGAAAAACGATTCGTGTGTTCTTACTGCAAGGATTTCCTATGATTCAGAAAAAATGACTTTTTATTTCTTATATTCCTTTTATATTTTTAAAAATACAGGGCTTAATTTTTATTTAAACTGTACCATGTTCTTATAGTGATCGGGATATCCGTGCGTCCGTCCGTCTGTCTGTACGTACGTCCGTCTGCAATGTTGTGGTACCTATCTCCTATTTGCTTACTCCTCTTTACCACTAAATGAAATTCAATTCGATGAGACTTTCACAGAATATTTTAACATATTGTTATTGTGCATCTTCTATTTTACTTTTTGATCCAACACATATTTAGGGTGTCCTAAAGCAAAACATGGACACTGCAATTGTTTCTATAATATCAAAGGGTACTCATCTCTTATCTGCAACTCCTCTATACTATTACATAACATTTAATGATACTTTCACAGATTCTTTATAACATAATGTCATTGTGCATTCCTTATATAACTTTTTGATCTGACAATTATTTCGAATCTCCCATAGCAGATATGAACTTTGCCATTATAATTATATAGAAGGTAGGGCTCTCATTTGGTAAGCTAAGTGCTCATTGTACCTCTAGTTCTAATATTAAAAGTTACCCATCGCACCTTCTTCTATCTAAATCTTAAAAATGATGTATAATCTTTCATTTCTATGTTCACACATACAAAATTTGCTTTATGAAGTCTTATATCAATTTATGATGCATCGGCCTAAACAGCTTAACCATTGATCAAAGAGACTTAGGTGATAATGTGTCGATAAAGCATTGAGAGTTTTTTTTTTTTATTCGATATACAAGTACATACCCCGGTAGGTTTAGACAGCAGTAGAAGGTGCACAATTACTATTTAACCCCTCAATATTACCAACATTTTTTTATGTACATGCAAACGTCAAAGCGTTTGAATATGGTATTTGAAGCAACTATTAATTCTTTAAAACAAATCCAGTATTAAATGTGAGCAAGGAGCAGTGTCTTTGGAATAACATCTTTCAAATTTTTTCTTATGAAGTGAAAAAGAATATCTACGGTCTTTCAGGTGACGAAGAAAATATTATCAGTAAACCGACGAAAACCACGTGTCGCTATTGAATCGTAAACACGTAGTAAAATGTCATGCTTTGGGACTCATTCAGTTGATTGGAGAATAGTTGTGACGAAAACATCGTCACGTGTGAAAAAAAAATTGCCTTCCATATAAGGTGGTGTACCCGACTTGTAAAATGTAGATTAAGGTGTTAACTATATATGGAACAAAAATGTGAACTATGCAATTTCGTTGCTTCCATTTTTCGTTCCGTAAACTTAAGTTCACAGTAGATAAATCTAGTTTAGCAAATGTGAAACAACGTGTATTTTTAGCTCATTTTTTGTGAATTCTGCTTGCCATATATGGCTGGATAATAAGCTCACTATAAGATTTCAATGTGTTAATGTGTCAACAGAAAAATTAAGGTTGAATGATCACACTGAACAGAGACCTGTCGCAGTGGAAAATCTTCCATTTAGCTTATCAGTTGACACAAACAAAGGTGTACATGTTTTTTTCTTCCAGAGAATTTATTGAACTTTATTGTGATTCAACTCCTAAAAAGCATGAATTGTTTTCGATGTTGTATGTCTGCGTAAGTATTACATGTACTAATGTCTTGTTCGTGTGAATTTTTGCGCGCCTTCACCCTCCAAACCACCAATGCAAAAGAAAGAACGGCAGAAATCTATGCAGTTTAAGATGACGACCCAACAGCCAGTTCTGCACACGCAGTTATGATACGGGCTTAAAATGCATAAAAATATTTGTTATATTTGTGAGCTACATTTTAATTTGAATATGTAATCATTGTTTGAATTTGCAGTCAACCTGTGATAAGAGTTTAATTAGGTATTATAATAAAGCATTTTTGTAATGTCACATGACTTTTTTGATTACGTGAGGGACATTTATGATTTCTGAAACAGGTCGGGTACACTACCTTATATGGAAGGCAATTTTTAACACGTGACGATGTCTTCGTTTCACCCGTTCTACAATCAAGTGAATGAGTCCCAAAGCATGACAGTCTACTACGGGTTTACGATTCAATAGCGACCCATAACTTTTGTCCCTTTACTGCATAATATTCACTTCGTCACCGGAAAAAACCGTAGAGCTTCTTTTTCACTTTATTTGGCCAAAATTGAAAGATTATATTCCAAAAACACTGCTCTATGCTCACATTTAATATTGGAGGTATTTTAGATGATGAATAGCTGCTTCAAAAACCGCACTAGTAAACGCTTTGACATTTGCATGTAAATAAAACTTTTTGATAATATTGATGAGTTGAATAATAATTGCACACCTTGTACTGCTGTCTAAAACTACGTACACGTATTTCACGTGAAAAAAAACTCTCAGTGTTTTATCGACACGATAACACCTACATCTCTTAGAACAATGGTTTAGGCCTATATACATGTATTATAAGTTGATATAAGGCTTCATCAAGCAAATTTTGTAAATGTAAGCATAGAAATGAAAGATTATACATCATTTTAAATATTTCTTTCATTAATATGACCTGTTTAATTTGGCACAAAAATCACATTGGCACAAGTGCAAAACAAAATTATTGTGAAAAGTTTATTACATCAAGTTTGTTGTTTGATCAATTCATCGTGATCTCTGGTACATCTAATTTTTACTTCCTAAGAAAATATTTTACGAGAAATTGAACTTACTAACATAAGAAGGGTTATTTTCCACTCTTTATCGCAATTTATACAAAAACAGATATACTACATGCAATCCCCCAACAAAATTCAGTTAGGTCTAGAGGACATACTTCTCGTCTAGATTTACACAGAACATCTTCAATTTATCATTGTTAATCACTTGTGCCAGTCAAATATAAACACGATTCATAAATGCGATTCATCTCCAGCTATATAATTTACGGAATTTCTTATAACGGATATAAGGAATTACGGATATAGCGAAGGGATTTCATAAGTCCAGTGGCTTCGTTATAACCGAGTTTTACTGCATATGTAAGTGTTCAATACTGAGAACTATAAGGATATGTGTAACCTTGATAAATATATTGAACATAGCTTGAGGCGAAGAGGTGATCTTGTAATTCAAAAACTGTATATTGTCCGTTCTTTTTATTTCACAATTATTATTTATATTCATATACATTGTTCTCCTGTAAATTATCCACTTCTGTACTGTAACCGATTGTATTTTATTGTATATACTGTTAAGCTGTAAAGCTTAAAGTAACAATAAAGAAAGCGGTGATCGGGTACTCTCTCACTGGAAATTTGAAAAAGCGTCATTGCCCAAGCGTTACTGAATTTTGTAAGCCAACACTACAGAAGCTACTCATGCCATTATTTACTCACTGATTTGACGACGGATTTTCCGTCATTTTCCGATCATAACTAGGAGCACACGGCGGATGTGACGGGTCGGCAGGGGAGGCTCACTCCTCCATAGAACCTGATCACACCTCTGTTTTGAAGGTCCCTGTTTACTCTGCACCTTTTTTGTATTGTTTTATAGACTTTTGATCTTGAATACTGTTGGTTATCTCCATATGTTTGATCTAAAACTTAAATTTCATGGTGTTCGTGAATTCGTGAGTCTCTCTATGCCCCGAGAACAAAGAAAATTAAAGTACCAAAAATTAGTGATTTCACAGTATTTTATAAGTGTTTTAAAGTGTTTGCTTTTAATGCCTAAATTATCGACAATTCGACGCAAACAGTTTTAGCCCAGTCCGTCTGACTGCTTGCCCATGAAACTTTAATCTTACACTTTTTATTGTTTGGAACTATCGCTTCATAAGTCAGATATTTGTTTATTGTGACAAAACGTTCCTTGGGTGCTTCAGAGTTTGAATTACTAAAAGTTCTGGAGAATTAAAGTACTAAAGATAGGCTATGTAATGTAATTCATATTTTACTTAGTCGCTAATATGGAGAAGCCAACATTTGCCGTTGGAAAACTGCAATTTTGAACCTATGCCAGGTATCCTGAGGGCCATTCAGCAATGAAAGGTTCGTTTTAATGATAACATCTACTGCGACATGGGACCTGTTTTTTTTCAGTATCATCTGAAAACTGGTGTAGACGTTCCTTAGTAGATTCGAACAAGCGAAGCACGGATTAACTCCTTACTCCAATACTCTAATATAGACGCTATAACCTATGAACCTATGAGCTTTGTTGGCGACTGACAAAATTAAGAAATAAGGCTCAGACGAGTGAACAAAATTTCTAAACGAATTGAAAGCTTGGCTTGTATTATTATTCACTTTTCGCACCTATTTTTCTTAGAAATAAGACTTCTGTGTGATGATTAAGTTTTGTTTAAAATCTTAATTCGATATTTTTTCTGTAATAAAGTAACGTTACAGCATGCCGAATAAGGATTTTAAATTTAAAAGCCCTTTGAAAACCTATACATGTACTTCAAGTCTTACCCTCCATAAGATGATTAGAAGAACTAAATTTATGTTCCCTGATAATTTTGAAATTCATAAGTAAATCCAATATTTTGATATCAGAATATAAAACCGTTATTTTAATTTCAATGTCCTCTATCACAATTTTTTCCTTTTCGTATGTAAATTCTGAAATTCTTTTATTCCGGAGAGCATTGTCTATTTATAAAAATTTTTTAAACCGAGTTCCCTTTCTATTCCTTACCAATCTGTTGTGTTTTCTGCAAACCTGCAGCAAGTCTGATGCAAGTTTGCAGCAACAAAATTGTTCATAGGAAGAAGATGTTCTTGTTTGCATATGTATGATAGTGTGTATTCAGTTTTTTTTTGCAAATAAATTTCCAACTGTAAAATTTTAATAATTATTTAGTCACATGAGCAATGATTCCAGGAAGCTTGCAGCGATGTTTGCCATAAGTATGTAGCATTGTTTCAATATTTTGAAAATCGAACTTTGCTGCAGACTAACAGCGAAACTCATTCGCATGGTTAAATGTTTGCTGTAAGCTTGCTGCATACTTGCCGCAAATTTCCTAAAAACACAAAAAAAAATTCGTGTAGGCTGTCATGGTTTCTCTAGCTTCATTGCAGCAAGTTTGAAGCTTCAAATACATTCTGAAGGGGTTGTCGTTCTAAAACATATCAAAATTTTGACTGATTTTTTAAACTATATATTTGTGTGTTTTCTTCAGAAAATCTTACCCTAGAGACACGGTTATCCACCACCAAACTGGCAGAGGTCCATTTGCACCTAGCCTAACTCCATTTGCTGTAAAACTTGAAACCTATTTGAGAATGGCAAAAGTTCCATTTCAGGTTTGATATTGAGTATAAATCAAAGGATTGTAATGCAATAAGTCACCCACTGTTAATCAAATGCGTTGTCTTTATAACTGATTCAGTTATTTACATCTGCATGAACTTGATATAAATACATTTAATACATTTTCATACTTGATACATTTAAATATAAATGTAAATGATCAATATTTTAACCAGAATGAATTCGACAGTGGTACCAACAAAAGTTCGAAAGGAAAAATGACATGGATTGAATACAATGGCGAGGAGGTGGCGGATTCAGAGTTTTGTATCAAGTACATCAATAAAACATTCAACATAGATCTAGACAAAGATTTTACAGACGAGGAAAGGGCGATAGCTTATTCTCTTCAAAAAGTGGCGGAGGAGTATTTCTACTGGTAAATATTAAAACGAGGATATAAATCATATATAAATCCTCTCGGATCAAGCCCTTTTTTTAATTTTAATTTAACAACGAACATGTTTTTTTCTGTAGTTTAGTCTTCAAATATTTGTACATTTTGATGTCAGATATACAGGACTTTAATCAATCTGGTTTGCATACACTAGTACATATATTTCATATTTTCTAGCACCTCGGGCAATTCGGACATCATTTAACGTTAACGTTTGGTAAGGTGATGACATTGTTGAAGACATGCTAAATTTAAATGCCATATTTGCGGAGCCCGGGTCTATCATTGATTTTAAAGTCATAACAAAAGAAAATGTAAAGAATCTCCATTAATTCACATAAAATTAAATAAACATCTATTATTTGTTTCAATGATGAAAATGCAGAAGAATAAAGTTGATAGTTTCTTTCATTTACCATCTAAAAAATTCCTGTAATGCTAGGATCTTGAAATGAGATAAAGTTTTCAAACAAATTCCCTGATATCATTGTATGCCCTAATAAGCCCTACTTCGTGTAGACAGATTAAATTCACTGAACATTTTTTCTTAGGTAATCCGATCCTCGGCCAGGAAGAATAATTCCAAAAATAACTTTAATTTCAAAGTCTCAAAATTATAAGCTTGATGCAACAAAATTTCATTTATGCATCTCAATATGATTCTGGATTCTTTGAAGTCTTATAAATGGTAAATAAAAAAGTGTATCCCACGAAATAAATGTATTTTTAGAGAAATCAAATATTTTCTTTAATTTAGCCTTTAATAAGCATGGTATGAAATCAGAAATATGTTATCTGTGATGTATTTAAACGATAATATGAATGTTTTAAACTATGTATTTTATAATAAATAAGCTAAAAAGAAAAAATAAAGTGTCAAACAAGTATAAGAAACAGGCAAATTTCTCTAAATGCCTTGATATGTAATAATTATTTATCGAAATATATATTTGTTGACCAATGTTCAATCAGATTGTTATTTTATATATCTCATTTTCCGCACAAACATTAAAGATTTTATAATTTTCCTTATATATAAATGATTATTTTTAATGATGTACTTTGAAAAAAGAAATTCAGATGGAATTTGAACATTGTAGAAAGTTTACAATCTCTCAATATTTTAGAAATATACATTTCTAATCATTTATATTGAAATAAGTAGAAAAAATGTCTATATACCATTCCATATTATCAATACAGGACATTTGTATTAAGTCGATGGGTTTACGATGAAGGCAACAGACTTACCAAATATATAAAAATACCGTGGATCTTGAGGAAACTCATGAAGCGTGCTTCCGCAAAGCAAGCAAATGCACAAGGATTGGGTCGTCATTCCCAAGAAGAAGTGGAGACAATCATTGTTGAATGCCTTACGAATTTTTCTAACTTTTTAGGTTAGTGCAAACATATAATTTGTTTTTAATAAAAATACATACTATATATAATGAAAAGGTAAATTAGGATTTCTTGCACAGGACTATAAATTGTATTGTTTGTGTATTTTAGGGAAGAAAAAGTTCTTTCTTGGAGAGAAGCCTTGTCAGTCGGATTGCGCTATATTTGGAATTTTCTCCCAGTGTTATTGGCATGAATTTGGTTCGTTCATAGAACAGGAATTCAAAAGTAAGAATCGATTGATTGATTGTAAATTATTTTACGTCCATCTCGTGAATTTTTCACTCATATGGAGACGCCAACACTTGCCGGTAGAGAGCTGCAAATGTTGTCCTATACTCGGCACTCCGAGCCATTGGGCAGGGAGGGACTGTTTTTGTGCCAACATCTTCTGCGACACGGGGCCTCGGTTTATACAGTCTCATCCGAAGGACCTGTCTCCATGCCCAATAATGGAATTCAAACACGCGACGTAGGAATCAACTTTTTACTTCGCGAATATAGAACAAATCATCTAACCACTGCGTCACGGGGGAAACTCGAAAGTAAGGAAACAATAGCTGTAGATCAATGGGCTAGAAAAAAAGGAAAGAACGACCCATTTTTTCAGACTTGGCCTGATATAGATCAAAATCCCATTGAAAATACATGTATATGTGAACAACAATGAGCTTTTGTCACTGAAACTCTGTTAGTCTTTCTGTACATAACATTTTCATTTACGTACAATATTTCAAAAAACCTTAACTTAATCATTAAATTTTTATGTTAAAACTGCCCTTTTAATTTCACAATTACCGCCTTTTAAAAGAAAATCGTATTGCTTTTTGGGTCAAATGTCAAGGTCCTTAATTTATACCTTCTAAGTGTGTTATGCTTTCGTTCTAGGGCTATATCTAAAGAAGCCTTTGAGCTTTTGCAATTAATTTTTTATCATAAATTACTATTGCCTAAAAGGGATCTCTTGTAATTTAAGATTTTAAGGGTCAAATGTCAAGTCCATTTATTCAAACGTTAATTCTATGTTTAACCTTGTTATTTCCAGTCAATCTTTAAGGTGTTATATCCCTAACAGATAAGAGAGATAACTTTCTGAAGACATTTTCCAATGAAATTCAGTGGATTGTCAGCTTACTGAACACATTTTGCCATGAAATTCAGTGAATTGTCAATTCAGAATTTACAGATTTCATTAATATGGACCATTTTATAGTCAACTCAATCAAGCCTGTTCTATCGTACAGATGTTTGATTTCTAGTTTCTAGAGCGCGATAATGGAAAGATAAGTCTTGTAGATGGATGCGTATTATTTACCAGCACAGAAAACAATTTGATATTCTGATTTAAAAAGCAATGCTTCAGTATGTTTTCTAATGAGAATTCGATAGGTATGAAAGTGAATATTATTTTCACGTCAATCTCATATTTCTAATTTTATTGTGAGATAAAAATTATTGATCTTTTTATTTACCATATCGTATTTTCTTCACATTATGCTTTGACATAATATTCATTTCTGAAAAAAGTAAGAAGCGCTTCATACTTCAAACTATTTTTCATTTGAATCTAATGCTGTTTTTGTTGATAAAAATCAGTGATTAGAATTTTTAAAAATTGGCGAAATTTTGAGCAGAGGGATATTTCACCTTAAAAACACATTTACAATGAAATTGATTTTGAGGTCAAAAGGTCATATGTCTTTTTTTATACGCCCGTCTTAAGACGGGACGTATTATGTTACAGGCTTCGTGTCCGTCCGTCTGTCCGTCTGTCTGTTAGCTTTTTCGTTTCCGGCTCATAACTTTAATACTATTAGGATCTAGGATTATCAAACTTTGTCATCTGATGCATCTTGGGTAGAAGGTGTGTCGCGCACAAAAAGTAGGTCGCTCTGACCTTTAATTAAGAAGATATAGCCAAATATGGAAAAATCCTTACCGGCCCATCACTAGAAAACTATAAGACTTACAATCATCAAACTTGGCTAGTTTATGCACCTTAGGTAGAAGGTCACTGTGACCTTTAATTTAAGTGAAATTTAAAAGAAAATATGTCTTATTACTTTTCATTTTCACATCCCAAATAATGTAAGAGTATTGCACCGTCCTTATTAAAAAAAATGTTAAATCAAGAAAATACTTATTTTTTTAAGCATATACTTGACAGCAATCTATAACAAATATAATGTATGTTAGAGAAATCCTACCTCTCCCATGAGTGTAATTATCAAGCACTGGTCAAGAAGAATTTTGATAAAAGAAAATTGCATGTCAAATTAGAGAGAGATTAATGAGTTTAGTGTGAAGAGCTAACTGGCAGCTAGAGCATCGGTGCTATCTATATCCCTTGAGTATTGGGCAAAAGCCTGTTGGATTAAAAAAGCTCTTGTTGGCTAACCTAAGTTTTAAAATGAATTTGATGAAAAGTAATCAAAACTAATTTGATATTGCATAATAGACTAATCTGATATTATATAATATCATGAATTTAAAAACTAGGAATCAGTATGTCCATATGAATTACATGAAAAAACCTGTCGGACATTAAATCTCAACCAAAAAAAATCTTTGAGTATTCTATATGTTTAAAAAAAAATTATGGTAGATAGTGCAGACCCATTCATCTCTTGGTAGTAATGAGTAGACAAGATTAATGAGTTCAGTGTAGGAAGGTTATCTGATCAAGCAGTCTTATCTGTATCCTTTGGGGATTAGACAGAAGAACTGCTGGTCAGTTTATAGCATATGTCATTTGATGGCCAGCCTTTTCTTTTCAAAATTAATTTGGTATAGATTAAGGTGTTAAGACTAATTTGATATTGTTTAATATGATGGGCATTTGACAAGGTCTAACACAACCAGCATAGAAATCTCTCAATGATGTAATATTTATTATAATTAATGCCTACATCACAGGGGATGGATAAATATTTTCAGGAATGGAAAAATCATGGAAATCTTAGAATCAAGGTTGACCTGATTTTCTTGCACGCTAAACTGTTCAAGAAAATTGTAATTTTTTGACGGGTGTATCATGCTGTGGCGTGGCACTTTATTTTTCATACATTGTCTCTGTGTTCATCACTTTCAAATTTCGATTTTTTTAAAAAAGTCTTGAAAATATTTGCTATGATACTTTTGCTATTAAATTTCAAATCACAACTCCTAAAGACTTTGGGAATTCCATCATTTTGATTTTAAGGTCAGATGATATTTTCACATTATAGTTCCAAAAGCTTTCACATTGAAACTTAAAAACATGAATTTCTTTAACAAAAATAAGTTTTATAAAAGATTTTAAAAGCCAAAAAGTCAAAGGTCAAAGATCTTTTTCTCCATCTCCATCTGCATTTTACAGTTATTCCACCCCCTTCTCTTTTCTTTATAGAAGGGGGACAGTAATTTTCTTGCCATTATCTTTTTTTATTATTTTCAAATTTCAGAGTTTGAAAATCTTTGTGGCTACTGTGAGAGAATGAAGGCAGAATTTTGGCCTGACTGGGATGACTGTATTACACACGGTAATACAAGGGAGGCCATTAAATGAGGGCGAGAGAAAAATAAGAGACAGAGTTGATTACTCACTCCTTGATGAAGCAACAAACATTTTCATCATTATTAATTTGACTAAATCGATTATTAAAATATCTATAATTGTACTAACAGCAAAATATGAAATTAATTTAGAAAGACTTTTTAAAGCATATTCTGTATTAAAAAAAAAATATATGGATCTTTACACATGTAAAAACCCTGAAACTAGACATTCAAAGACCTTTTCCAATGAATGGACATACATATACCAGTACTTTAATTAATTATTAACAGACATATTTCTAAGAACATGCTCTTCCTTCACCATTTCTCACCCCTCTCTCTCTCTCTCTCTTACTCTCTCTTTACCCCTCTCATTTGTCACTTTTATATTTTTGTATTGTTTATTAAATGTATTAATGATGTATTTGATGTAGTAAGATATTATAAACATGCATAATGTGACAATCGATATTAGTAAAAACAAATCTGATTTTTTTATGAATAACACAGATATTGTACGTTTAGCAAATATAAGAAACATAGAATTAATGTAATTTCCATTTCATCAAAGGATGTAACACTCATTCTAATTGGATCAATATTTCATTTATGAAATACACAACCATTTTATTGAAAAACAAAATCGAATATACAAAATAACATTGAAATGAAAAAGCAGCAAATTCTGCTACAATATAAGCACTCCTTTATGTGTATAAATTCTATAAATGTTTAATATGTTCTATTCGTACAAAGTTACATGAATATCAAATATTAAATCATTCTGCATTCAAACTAAATTAACTTTGATAACACACATGTACTTTTTTTTAATGGTGGTATATTTCACTACATGTAAAACTATGTTTTGTCTAAACAAAAAATAAGACTTATCAATAAATCCATGATTACTTATCAAAAATTAATTTTTGATTTTCAATACTTTTTCTAATATTTCTAATTTTCTCATTTGTCTCTCTGATTAACTGCGTTTTTTTCTTGTGTTTTCAAATAAATTGATTTAACTGATGCATGAAGGTAGGGGGTCAAAAAGAAATAAATGTTAGTTGTAATTTGCATATGCACTATTCATCTTAGAACAGATGATACAAACAAATATGTATTCATAAAATTTGAAAATAACATTATGAGTCATGTATTAATGAGTGAAATGAGCAAGTTTCACGGCGTATTTTCTAACAATTATTATGGGGAGTGCCTATATAGATTGGCAGGGTTGGAAAAAGGGTCAAAATTTTGAACATTTTTCAACCCCCGGCCTATGAATTTATTTATGTACATAACAGATAGTCATACACACGAAACCGGATCTTAAATACTTGAAAGACGATGGACGTTTAGAAGTATTATATATACAATATCTTTTAAAAAGTAGTATAATGGAAGGAGTGCAGACATTTATGAAAACTCATTACAAAGAGATATGCGTGGCTGCTTCTCTTGGAATTGCTGTCATAGCAGTGTTTAAGAAGTTCACAAAGAAGAGCAAGTAAGTGACTAACGGCATTTTTATCCGCATGTATGGAGAACCAGAGGAATCAAAACAGTGTAACAATTTAACTGGTTGGGCTTTCAACAATTAATGCGCCGATCATGGCAAAAGTTTATGGAACCCAAATTAACATATATTCAAATATTTGAACCTTTCTTCAAATAATTGTACCTATCTTCAATTAGTAGTAAATGCATTTGAACCTACCAGTATTTTTTTTTACTTACCTGAAAAAGTTGCCAAACAAAAAAAAAAAGGAAAATTGCCCAAAGTCCAAAAATCCTATTTGGTGGTGGTGGTGGTGGTGGTGGTGGTCGGGGGGGGGGGGGGGGGGGGGGGGGTTGAGGCAAACTTTTTTCACTACCAATTCCCTTCAATATCCATTTTTTAAGCTTACAATAATATACGAGGGGTTTTCAAAAAGTTCGTGGACTGAGGCTATAAAATTAATACTATGCTCTCTGAGCTTACAAAATTTATAAGGAACATAAAAAAACAAAAAATAAAGAAATGTTGAAAATTTTAGCTTGATACGTTCATAATTCCCCAAGTTAATATAAAATAAAGGCCACATTATATGTCACCCGGCGCCGTCTTCAAATATTATTTTTCACCGCTTTTTCTACCTGTAATTGAACTTAGTATTTTGAAATGTCATGAACAGCAGCTTTCAGTGCATATACTATTGCAAATATACATGTCCTGGCTTGATTTTGCCAGCATTATTGTTTTTTGGAGTTCAATATAGCTATATAACACATGATCAACGTCATTATTTGACGTGATATATTTTTCAAACCTTGACTATAAATCGACATTAATCCTTTGCATCCCTTTTCTCTCTGAAATAATTAAGAAATTTGGGTGCAAATCAGCAAGTTAAAACATTTCCTAAGTGTATACCAGTTTTTCAAGGGGCAAAACCTAAAATTTAAGAATTTTCAAGGCAATATTTGTTTGTATAAAATTTACAATAAAATTTCATACTTCCAATCTAAAAATTTCATTTAAAGATAGTTCCCAACACATCCAGAATGAGTTTCATATTTTAGATAGGTCCCAACACAGTGATTTGATTTTTGGATGTCAAATGTCCATATCAAAATAGTTTATCTTAGTTACACTTATGTAGAAAAACGTCGTTTTCGTTGCGCCGTGAACATACCATTGCTTACAAAAACTTTACTAATTTATTAAATAAAATTTATAATTTGTTTTATTCCATAGATAGAAAAGATATAACCATTTCTTTCATCCGCGGTTTTAATATTATGGCGCTAGTCCACGAACTTTTTGATAGCCCCTGTATATGAAATTTCTATAATGAAATTTAATGAACATTTTCAATACAAAATCTTTGTTACATATAGAGCCATTGTGCACCTCCTATTTTACTTTTTGATCCGACATATATTTCGGGTTACCTAAAGCAAAATATGGACAATGCCATTCTTTCAAAAATATTGAAGGGTATCTATCTCTTATCCGCAACTCCTCCTACACCACTTAATTTTAATGAAACTCTAAAGATTCTTTAAAACAAAATGCCATTTTTCAGCTCTTATTTTACTTTTAGCTCTAATTTGTGAATTTGGCCTTCCATACTTTTCAGTTTACTACATGTATTTTGAAATGTAAATTAAGGCGTTAACTTTGGAATTAATAGAAATGTGAACTATACAATTACGTTGTTTCCATTTTCCGGTCCGTAAACTATAGTTTACAGTAGATGAATATAGTTTATCAGTGCTAAACCACATGAATGTTTAGCTCATTTCTTGTGAATTTTGCTTGCCATAAATAGCTGAGTAACATAAACAAACTACAAGAGTTCAATGTGTCAACAGAAAAACTTCGGTTGAATTAACACACTGAACAAAGTCCTGTCGCGGATGTAAATCTTCCATTTAGCACATTATCAGTAGACACCATTGGTGGATACAGGATTTGTGTTTAGGGGGGATGGATAACTACGTTCAGGCAGGTGGCCTGGGGTGGGTCCAGTGGGGGCCCGGGGGGGGGGGGCGAAGCCCCTGGAAGCTGCTTGGTTTTCATGTATTTTAAGAGTAAAACCAGGCACAATAATAGTGGTATTGTTTAATTAAGTACCAAAGTAAGGCATTATTAATACT